AGATTGCTGATGTGACGCTTCCAACTAACACACTAACTAACACACTCAATCTTTACCTAACAAGCAAACTGATTGCTGACATGACATTGTCAACTAACACACATACTCTCTACCTACCAAACGCGGATCTAACAAGCAAACTGATTGCTGACGTGACATTGTCAACTAACACACATACTATCTACCTACCAAACGCGAGGATCGTTGACATGGCAGCTATGACTAGTGCACACTAAAGTATCTATATCAACATTTAGATTAACCTCAACTTTAGTTCCAACTAACTAAAGATGGTCACAACCTCCTCCCAAAGAGCCTTAGGTAATTGAGCATAAAGTAGTAAGCTTCATGCCATCTCAACTACAGTCTTATTCTTTCGCTCAGATACTCCATTTTGATGTGGAGTGCACACACAAGTTAAGACATGATGAATACTTGACTTTACGCATAATGCATGATAATTCTGGGAGAGATATTCCCCCCCTCTATCTGTTTGGAGTGCCGCGATCTTGTGATTGTAACTATTCTCCACCATTACTTTGAAATCTTGAAATTGATGTAGTGCCTCATATTTGGTTCTCAAAAAATAAATCCAGGTATACGCGGTAAAATCGTCAATAAACATCAGTATATATTGTTTCTTTGTTAAGGGTTCAGAAGGGAGAGGCTTGCATAAGTTAGAGTGCAACAACTGTAATGGACGTGTTGTTTGAGTACGAGAGTGTTTGGGAATACAATTTCGACTTTGCTTTGCTTTCAACATGTAGCACATAAAGATCTAATGTGACGAATCTTAGTAATTCCTACAACAAGCTTCTTAGAGTCCATCAAATGGAGTTTCTGATAGTTTGCATGACTTATCCTACTATGTCAAAGTTTTGCCTAAAAAACTGAACAGGTTTGAAGATGAGATTTAGGCTCTTCTATAATCCAAATTTCAATGAAACGAAGAAGTCGTGTTGGGAAAGACGATGTTGTGATGCCTCGTGAGAGAACTCTAGGCTTAGTCAGCTTGTATAAACTGTTATATAGATCCCGATCTCCTTGCAATAGTATGCTACGTGAATTTTTTCTATCAAATACAGAACAAGTCCTCGAGTTAGAAAGTGATATATGGCCTAAATCAGTCAAGCGTCCAACATACAACAAATTTTTCTTCACACCAGACACGTAAAAAACATCAGACATTTTCTTCTGTAATAATGTAAGTGAGCCCTTTCCACAAACCAAAAGAACCTGATAGCCTGCACTTCTAATTGAGATATGGTTAGCATAATTTTTTATATTTAAAAGAAGTGAACTATTTCCAATTATGTGTGAGGAGGCTCCACTATCAAAAAACCATGACTGTTTTTCTTCTACTTGTTTCAAAAATGCAAAAAGTACATTTGCTACATCGTTAGCTACTATATTGTTTGGAAAAGAAGCAGCGTCGTTATCAAAGAACACAACATCAGCTTGCTCAAAAGCAACCTTGCGATGATCATCATGATTGTCGAGATAACATGCCATGTTGCTTGCCTCAGACTGCCTAGAGTTCTTGAGAGTGTTATAGGAGATCTATAGTGCTTTGAGCTCCTTCTGAAGTTGGTGCTGACAACATTCATACGACCAATGTTTCATTTCTCCTCACTCACTGCAAGTGCCGGGTTTCAAGCTCGGAGGATTGTGAAACTCATTCTGATCCCGGTTGCTCAGAGTTTTTTCTGTCAGATCCGTGGTAGTCACGATCATTGTTGAATCGTTGGAATGAAGTAGATCTCCTCTTATTTATATAATATTGCTGCTTGTCTTGTCCGCTACGTTTGATGGTGGCAATAAGAGATTCGACTAATATGTTGGTTCGGTTAGATGTAACCTCACGTGTCATTTTTTCATCAGTTCGAAAAGTAAAAAATTGTGAAAGCATATAAGTATTATGAACAATGCTAGCTATAATGGAACTAACATATTCTGACCAACTCGAAGGCAAACTCATCAGAATGAGAGGTATAAGTTCTGAATCTTTGACTATATCGTTGCAGTTTGACAGTTGGTTAGTGAGGTTTTTCACGGCACGCATGTGAGTTTCAATAGACTTATCCTCCTCATTGAGAGATTGAACAGTTTTGTCGCAAGAATTGGCGTAGATCCTCCCTAGCATATGCATATAGTGTCTCTAGCTCTTTCCACATCAGGTGAGGATCAGACATGGCAGAAATATGATGAACAACTTGTTCACGCACGTTCATCATAATGTAATAAACGGCGTCATCGCGTTGTTCAAGAATGATGTCAATTTTCTCATGAATTTCTTTATTAGCATACTCTCGTTCTTGCTTGGCCGTAATTGCATTATTACATGCGTGATCGATAAGTGCTTCGGGAACCTCAAGTGCAGGTAGTAACTTTGGTAAAGCATTGCTTCGTTTGATTGCAACATAACATTTCTTCTTGCGTAAGATGGCTCACATTCGCGCAGCCAAAGTAGTGTAGTTGTCGATGCCGTCCAACTTCTGTGTTGGGTCGATGTGCTTCGCTTCTTTTGAGAAATCCATGTTTCCAAACGGAAGAAAAAGAGAAAAAAAACTTCAAATACTGAGGTCATCAAGTTAAGTCATTCGCAATCTTAATTGGAGGATCAAAGAGAATACTTACACTCTAATACCATGTTGGAATCACTTATTCGTGATTAGTCAGACTGTTTTAATAAGTAAGAAGTCTTGTACATATAGTGTAGTAGTCTACAAGGATAATCTATAACGGTAGTGTAATGAATAATTGATCATCTGCGTCCACTCCTTTGGACGCTGATACAGTTGTCAAGCCTTGTGTAATATTAGCATTCTAAGAGAACCTTTCGAATCTAACTGATTCTAACAACACGAAGCTGAGCACAGGATCGCTCGCAAAAGAAACTATTCAAATGTTGGTACCAGTCACTAACATGGATTGTGTCATATGAAGGTTTTTTTATCAATCTCGATGAGAATAGTAGATACTCACCAATATCACTTAGTGAAGTCAATCAATTTTACATCATCCCTACAACGTTAATGTGATGTAATCTTGGACTCATGGTTCAACAGAGACTTTAAGGAGTACTTAATTGAATGTTAGGCGCTAAATTCCTCTCCGAGCGAGAGAGCCAGAATGGAATGAAATGCCCAAATGGATTCTGCAACAGCAGCAACATCAAAGGGAGGCAATAAATGAACCAGCGGGAGGATAGAGTCTCCGATTTCGACAACGGATATGGGAAGGAAAATCTGTGTCGAAGGATCCGTCACTCGAGTAGTGATGACAAGTTGTTCGGCTTGTGTGCGCCATTTGATGAGCTTGTGGTCGGTTCAGGGATTGGACTTGAAGTTTGACAAGAAGAGGTTACCCGTTCATGCGGTCAACTGGATGCGTTAGAAGAGTATTATCTATAGTCCTAGATTAATTGTCTTGATGCATTGGCATGCACAACCTGATCCCGTGGGAAAGAAGCTACAAACAATTACCAATTAGTTGCAATGTGAATAATCAAAATCAGAAGCAATCATAAAATTTCGCTATGTCATCAAGGAACTTTTGAGTCTCAAACAATTGGCACTAGATCTAATGGTATGTCCATTGAAGTTCCTCAACGAGATAAATATAAGTACAAGATACAATTCACTCGGTTGTATTTGTCTGTTCGCACTGTGTCGACCTAGTCGTCGTTTACCTACAAGACACAATTTGATTATGTTTGCCTCAGTTTGATATGTAGATTGTTATGGTTATTTTTCTTCCCAATTACTTCTTTAATTCACACTTAGAAGAGTAAAACTGCTTACCGATACCTACTTAATCTCCAACTCACTCTCACCCTCTCAGTCTCTACTTAGTCTCATCTCTCATTGAAATCATTGAGAGAGTTGAAATTAGACTTCGACATTTGACTTGTCGAAGAACACAATGACCGGGAAAGGTTATACTAGGAAGTGGAGCAAGGGTTCTTCGAGAGGCAAGGGGGCCCCGGAGGAGTTCAGTTGTGAATACAAAAGATCCCGAATACAAGGAGGACTTGAGGCAAATAGGTAGCGGAAATTCGCAACCCAGCCAAAAGAAGTCCGATTTCACTCGGAGTTTTGGCAGTTTCTCGACGAGGATCTGTACAAAAATACTCGGCTCTTGCATGGCGACGTTGAACGGTTTTGAGGTGTGTTATGGATTCACGGCGTTTTTCAAAGAATGACCGTACGGTTGGAATTTCATTTACATTCTGAACAGATTTTGATGGTAATCAAGGTCAGGGCCTCATGCATTGGCGTTCGGCTAGGCGAAGTATTCAATGATATTAAAAGAGTCTGCTTGTCATAGGAAAGGGAGTTTTGTCCAATTGTACGAACAATGTGTCAGCTACTTGACTGATTGGATACGTGCCGCATTCTCGCCAGCCGCAGTATTTCTGGACTAGATCTTCAGAGTGAGAGGAGCAGCTCAAATTCTAGCCGCTAAGAAAGTAGAGAAAGAGCTTCATGTCGAGATCATCGACATTGTGAGAAGTTACAAGTATGCTTGATGTGCACCTTTGGGCACTCTATACATCTCCAGTTCCAGGAAGTTTGGGAGGACATGCGGAATTGGTGATGAAATCCAGTAATCATAGCGAATCTGAACACCCGCTGGGCAACGCAGGCAAAAATCGTTGCACCAAAACTGGTATTCATTCAACTCTGCTGCAAGTAGAAACAAAGCACACGTGCTTCTGCTCACCTATAGCTGATTAAGGTATGTGATCGATTCAGACAGTGATTCTCTGGATGGTAATGTCACAGTATTGATATGTTTCGTATGTAAGTCCCAGCATCTCAGAGACATTTGAATGTTGAGACTAGTTTTGCAAGAAGGCACGTTGACTGGCTCTTACGGGAACAAGACTGCAGATGCCTTGAATGACATGTACACGGCATATCAGCAAGGAGAGTGAGCACTGACAACGAAAGAAATACAAGTGATGACCACTTAACAAACATCCCACAGAAACCGTTCGAAAGAATCAGAGCTAAGGCCTTGAAATTCATTTGGTGGTCAAAATTGAAATTCACAGCGGACACTACGAGGACACTCAACTTGAATGATAACCCAAATCTGGTACGACTACATTTTTATGGAATGACAGGGCAACTTTCCATACGCTTTAGGTGAGTGAGATAAGTATCTCAGCCTAGTGCGCACTCCAGGAAAAAGCCATCCCCTCTCAGGAACCAACAATCAATATCTCTTTCAGCAAGTGGGTTCTGGGGGATTGTGCACAATGTCCACCATTATCTTGGGAATTCTCGATTTCACGAAAATTTCAATCCTACTTCTTGGCTGCCTCATCATCTCCGCGGCCAAAGACAGACTCAATATCTTCAGCAATCTCATCCCATTTTTCCTGCAATCATGTGCAAAACAGATTTCAGAAATTTCTACATCTACCCAAAACCCCTAAAGAATTCTTCAAGTTCCTTAACTTAATATTTAGCTCTGTCTGGAGCTGCAAGCGCAATCAAAACAAAAAGAAACTTAAAATAGCCAGCTGGAGTAAAATTCTGACCTGGAAAGTATCGAACCAATCGCGCTCGTAATCAGCCCTAGTTGTAAAATCGCCGAGATCTTCTCTGTACCACTGTCTGTTAAATGTCATAAGATCCATAACCTGCTCCACATCTTGCACTTCCCAAGGCCGCAATCCTGGAATTTCCTTAGCTAGCCTTCTCCTGCATGAATTCACCATGCCGAGAGATCAGAAGAGAGACACAGGCGGTCTGCTTAGGACCACTAAATCATTGGCATTCGATGGGCACGAGGACAGAGTCGGCACATTCAGAACCCAGAACAATTATAGCCCACCCTCGAACTAGAAAGAAATTAAGTACAGGACGACACATTGACTACTTTCAGGAAAAAAGCACTCCTCGACTCTTCCAACAGGAAAGCTTATCAGAAAGGTTTAGTGTGTGAAGCACATCGGTGAGAATCCCGACCTCGTTTTATAAGGAATGAATCTGCCTGCTTTGTCGTCGTCTAACATATTTGTAAGCTCTGTTCCACTAGCCCAGAGGAACATAGAATAACTTGGGGAACGCTCTCCAGGCCAGGCTCCTCCGTTCCTTCGAAGAACAGCATTTTCTCGTTCTCTCTTCTCAATCGCTTCGCTTTGAAGTTGCTTGTAAGACTTGAAAGCATGTCCTCTCTTGGGACGCCATAATGGCACACCATTGGCCAGTTTGTGGACGAGCGAAGTTCCAGCGGTTGTCCACTTTACTGAAAGCAATACAATAAGTGTCTAATTATGCAATTCATGTGCATCCGCGCAGCTCAAGTGACGAGATTACCCACAAATCCGAGCAGAATTATACCCGCTGAGATGGAAAACAACTTAAATGTAGAATTAGGCAGAAAATTTACGAACCAATCGCCTTGGGGTTTAGGGTTTATGCCAGAAAGTGCGTTGCAGCCTAAAGAATAGAAGGTATATTTGCGTTGATTGCATACGGTGCACTCTAAACATTCAACGAAAGCATTGTAAACAAGTAAGAGGAGCTCACTATCTGGTGTCTCGATCGCAGTTTGCAGTCCGTAGACCATTCCAATCGGGGCCCACTCATCCATGTCGTCACCCCAGATGAAAGTATTTTTGTCTATAATGCCTCCTGCCCATGCAGTCTTCATATTGATCAGCTCCATTGGTCCACGACTACGTCCTAGCCGGTCCTTATAGTACCATCCGCCAGCTCTCATTGTAACTGCGAGACGCGGAAAACAGCGATTTAGTATTGGACAGATGAGACTGTCCAAGAGTAGAGAGAGCTTCACAATTTGGAGATGCTGCAATCCAAAAGGTCGAGAACATTTATGTACGTAGCCCCAAGGGTTTCAGTCTCATCAAAACGTACAATCTGCGTAACGTTTGTCCAGAAAATTGTAACCGAGAGCCTGCTGCACATCACAAGGCTTGTGAATTGGATACGGCCTTTGTTTGTAGCCCCACAACCCGAAGCCAAACTGTTTGAAAAAATCCCAAAAGCGGGCTTGCACATCATCCTCAGTTTTCAGTGCCAGCCTCGGCATGCCCGGGCCTCCATCTGGCCCTGGAACAAACGGCAGAGATTGCCACAATTTCACATCCTCCTTCCTGGGGGGCAGATTATTCCGCAATCGCTCGGTGGCAAGTTCTTCTTCCCTCTGATCCTCGCAGCGGAGCAAAAATTTCACCATCGGACTGTTCTTGAACTCTTCAATTTGCCTCTCATTTTCGGCAATTTCTTCCGGGGTGGTGGCCTCCTTCTTCCTGAAGAATCCCGTCGAGGTCAAATCCTCCTCGACGTCCGAATCATACCTGGGATCCGGCCGATACTCCTCCTCGTAATTATACTGCTCCAGCCTTTCCTGCCAAGTCTGGGGTCCATCAATCCCCGCCTTTGCCCCACTGTCCGAAGCTCCTGCTTCATCTCCCGATCCTGCGACGCCATCCTTGCCAGGACTGCTTTCGCCTGCCCGCCCACCCCCTCTCCGCCACGGAATCCACCCCATGCTGCCACTCCTGCTCTTCCTCCTCCCCTGCCTGCCACTGTCCTAAGAATTGCCGCACGATTCGACCATGGCCTCTCGTGCCTCGTGCTCTCCCCCTCTCCCCCTCTCTCTCTCTCTCGAGGCTCCGAGCTCTTCCCGAAATGCAATCCAACCAACGATCCCCGCGGGCCACAGCGACACCAGCCGGAGGACGTTTAGGGTCGTTCGGATGGCGCTGCAGCTGCAGCTGCATCTGGAGCAGGAGCAGGAGCAGATAAGGTTCTTCTGTCGACGCCCGACTGCGCTAAAACCCCCCTGACTGCGTACGGAGGCCGATGGACCAAGTTCGGCCTGGTGCCGACCGCAGTCGTTGCAGGCGACCTCGTGACCGGCGACTGGACCAGCAGGTTTGTGGCCGCCGACATTGGCGCCTGACAAAACGCTTCTGTCCATGTACTGTACCCCTTGGGCAATTGAGGTGAGGACCTGCTGTTGTTTGGGTTCGTCGTCCACGTTGTGCTCAGTCGTTTGCCTCTTGCCTGCTGATGATTTCTTTCTGAGGGATTGAACAAAAGTGAAGCTTTCTCCGCAACCACCGATTTGAGCACTCTCCGAGGATCCTAGTGTCCATACTTCACAGCACTAGACTCGGTCTGATGGTGGGCTTCCAGACTGCATCCCTCTGTCGCCCTACATTCTACAGCGTGAAGAGAGCTGCAACCCCTTTCCGGATTTCGAGGATACAACTGACTAACTATCGTGACAAGACATAAATCCTATCTAGCAGAAAAGACATAGGAAGACGGCCAATTGCGTCCAGTGTGGGGACGACACAGTTTGAGCGGTTTACACAAATGACAGAATGTTTCACCAGCAGGGACGACATTCGGGTGTACAAGTATGTATCACAAAGTCAAAAAACTACAGATCCACCCAATGTGCATGACAATGCTGACGTAGGACTTCATTAGTAGAGAAGAAGAAAAAACCCTACACTGCAGGCCTAAACAACGTACAAGGTGAGTGGAGAGCGATCAAGTCGCAGAAGTTGGAAGAGAAATTGCTGAATTATGTTTAGGATAATAACAAAACCCGTCCACAGTATCCTGTCTGCCGATGCCAAAAACGTGAATGGAATATCCTCTCATAAGGATGATGACAATCGATTGAGGCTCTTATCTAGCAACCACATTATAGCGTCCGTGGGGTAACTGTTCTCGACTTCCAGTGTCTTCGCAAGACCTTCCATTTGTCACCGCGAGCACTCTTTGTCTGGAGTATTTTGACGTACCAGACCAAAACGAATATTGGCGTGGTTCGCTCTATTATGAGGGTGAAATGAATGATTCGCATCAACGGCATACTCTGGCAACAATAAGTCTTCAGACGTGAGAGAGCAAACTGTTTATGAAAGTGACTGCTCGGGCACACCAATTCCGAGCACGTGAATTTTACTTCGTTGAGTAAATGTCTTGACCTGCCCACTTCACGATGTCCAAATATCGTCACTACTACAATACGTGCCCAGGAATAAATCAATACGTCCTCTTCAGCTTCATGTGTGCTGAAAGACGTACTGTACACAACCTTCCACTAAAACACAATTTTCTAAGCGTTCACCTACGAACAGTAGGTCGGTCGTAATAAGATTCTGTAGATCGTCCATCAGGAGATGGATTGCTTAGGTAGTGATTGTTATGAGATCATGAGACTCCAAGATGGCAATTAAATCTGGCTACAACTACTGCTTCTATGTCCGAAATTATCTCTCTTCAAGTTCCGCTTCAAACAGCGCCAATTGCTGTCGCAGTACTGGTAAAAATGACTTGCCGATGGCATCTGAAACTCTGCTCTTTTCGTTCGCTGGCACTGTCCTGTCCTTCAGTGTGACCTCAACCTGCAAGATTACCCCATAATGTCAGTCGGTGGAGTACTGATCGATACACATACTTGAGAAATAAGGATACCACTATTGATGTGGCCACTGATGCAAGATTTGTGCGTTGGTACCAGTTCTGTTAGATGTCGCTAAATTCATATGTAACAACCTATTTTGTTCACTAAGCATTGTTATTAAAAGCAAAATCGCAAGGTTCTTCTATCGGGGTACTCTATCAACAGTGAGGCTTTTCTAACAGGATTTGGCGTCAGAAATAGGTGATATGTCATGGAAACACGTAGTTACGGTGCATAATTTCGAATACTTGGATTACCAGGGTATGTTCCGACTCCTAATAAACTTTATAATTAGTTCTCCTACGCACTTCAGGGAATCCACAATTCCTCATTCACGTTTGAAAGTCGGAAACAATTTCTTAATTTCCAAGTCCAAAGTTCCTTACGCACACCAGGATACGAGCATTGTTATGTTCAAACCCAGGTTTGCAAACGGAACACACCCACATCCAGGATGTGGTGTCATTATCTATGCATACCCTCATCAACGTTCCTACGTCGCCTTAGGGTGTGCCATTGGTAAATGCATGCAAAGTTTAGAAGGCTATCAAAGCCACTATAGCTGGACCCGATGTAGAATCATCTACCTGCAAATCATCAAGTTCTCCGTAAGCAGCCTCCAATAATTTCACGGAACCCTCCAAATTCTTGGGTTCTCCAGAGCTGGTTATCTCTCCTGCAAGAAAGTTTCAAGATCACCAGTGTGTGAGAATGCTGCAAAGGGTTCTCAGCACGAGTCCAACTTTTACTTTGAATTCTCTGCATATGATATTATCATAGTTGTCACATCTTTTGAGTACCGACTCTAGGAGAAATTCTACCCTCAGTGACTGAGATACATGGTACACCATTCATCCTTGTTGACATCTGCTTGCCTCCATTCCAGTGACACGATGTGAATATCTAAAGTTATTGATAGGTTATGGGTCCATTCATAGCGAGATCCTAAATGAAGCAGAATTGACAAAAAGAAAAACGTATCAAAAAGAGAAGATGAAGACGAACAATACGTGGCGGCAATAGCAAAAGAGGACTTCAATCGGACTACGTTGGCCTGTAGCAGATCTGAAGTGACTAGGGAAGAGATAGGGATCTTAGATAGTATAATACCACGTAGAGCTTAAGCCGGACCTAGACGCTAGACTTAGGTGGTACTCAATGATTCAGTCCGCAAGCTCAATAAGGGATCCAGCAAGCTAGTGCAATGAGCTCAGGTTTCTGTAAGAACGTATTTTCAATCTTAGCGGACTGCCTAACCTATCAACATATATCTAACAATCCTCGAACTCTTGACAAGATAATGTGAAAGCAAGAAACAGTTCACAACCTACTTACCATTAAATTTGATGGTAATTTCGAAAGAGTACCCCACTCGCTTCTTCTTCCTCACAGTAACGAGTGTTGCCTGCACCCATGTTCAATGGGCACCCCCGCCTTGAGAACATTTCCTGAATTACTTGCTGACTAGTGTTTCCCTGTCTCTCCCTCCTGGCCGTCAAAAACACAGCACTTAGGAGAGAGCAGGAAGGACGAGATAGCATAAGTCACTCACCACGACGGAAGTGGTTGGTCGAGGGTATCTGCCAGCTGATCCCGCTATCTTTAGCCAAGTCATAAAAAAAGAAGCCCAGGGGCATGGACGGCAAAGAACTCACTGCCGTCCTAAGCTTAGGCATGGACCAAAATGTACTAAAAGCCCATGAACCCACTCTACCTGACTCGCGTTTACATGCTTTTCTTCAATTCAAATTCAAGTGCATGCTTCCCATAAAAAATCAGGGTCTTTCCAGTGTGCGATTACGGTTTGGAATGACGTACATCTCCAGTACAGCTCGAAACCTCTATCACCCTGGCCGTGCCTTGTGGGAACGACACAGTATCCGCACTTAGAAGCAGCTCCTGGGGTATCAAAAACAACAACAAGCTCAATTCTTCTTCCCGCAAATATTCCCGACAGACATTGAAAACACACATTGTAACACAATATATGAAGAACAGAACACTGGAATATGAGATCCTGCTACTGCAGCAAAGGGACGCAATTAGGCCATTGCCAAAAGCCATTCCACTCTTTTCGTGATTCTTGTATAGAACATTTATAGGGAACAAATCGCACTAAGTGCTTGGAGTGCAGGAAAAGTGTTACCTTCACCCTTGCTAACGCCCATGAGTTAAGACTTTTCTCTTCCCAAGTGCCAGCCTGTACCAACGCAAACGACTTAGAAGCGTTAAATTCCACGCCCAAACGTGTTTCCATTTCCTATGTGCACCGCAAAAGTACAAAATTTCTTTCAGGTGCAAAATCAGATTAACTACCCAGTGAGGATTGAAGTAACGGGCTGATCTTCCCACCCTGCTGATTTGAATACCCAGTCAGGATTAAAGTAACGGACTGATCCTCCCACCCTGCTGATTTGCTTTTCCCACCCTCCCCCCTTATATCACCCCCTCCCTTTGATTCTCACCACCTCCGTCTGCGCCTTTCTGATTCCCCCCATTCTTTGTACCGCCACGCCATGATCCCCCTCCCGAGCCCACTTACGACGCCACGCCATGAACCCCTCCCGAGGCCACTTACGACGATATCGATGCCTTGAAGGCTGCGTGCGTACAGCATGTTGCCGCTCATCTCTGTGGCGACACCACCAAGCAGTCCCGAGGCCACTTCCGAAGATATCGATGCCTTGAAGGCTGCGTGCTGTAGCATGCTGCCGCTCATCTCTATAGCGTCACCACCAAGCGGTCCGAGGCAGAAATGTGTCGGGAAAGGTGGGGAGCGTGGGAAAAGCAAATCAGCAGAGTGGGAGTATCAGCCCCCTAAAGTAACTGGAATACATTGCGCGGTCCCGACCCGAGAGGAAATGATCGAGACCATATTTATATATTCCACTCCAAAATGAGCGGTGACCACGCTAGTGGTGAAGGTCATGTTTGTCGCGAACGAACAAATTTTCGAGCAATTTTGTTCTTAGCGCCCAAATCAAGACCAGTGGAGCTTCAAAATTGAAAAGGTAAATCAAGCGATACGTGTCCAGAATGTCAGGGACCTATCTTCCAACTGATCCAGGGAAGACTATGGGTGCATAAAAGATGAGCATCGTCCAAAGAAATGACTTCCACACTAGGACAGAAAACGAAGGGTTAATCACACATAATTTGCAATATGTGTCTACCACAAGCCATTTTGTCTAACACTTGCGGCGTCCGAAAGCTCAAATCCGAGAAGCCAATTAATCATCAGAAGCCAACACGCATATAGTCTGCGTTCGAATCACAAGAACGAATGCAGGTCATCCCTTGTGCTGCGCTGCACCCTCCAGTTGCACGTCTGTATCGAAAACCTGTTCAGGAGGATGTCACAAGTCATAAAAGTCCTGGCGGAGAAATCGGCAAGGCTTGGAAATGCACCTGATTCCAAACGGATCCGAGCGGGGGAGCCTGAGCAGTATTTTGTTCTGCAATATCAGTCGCCGATAGCCTTCTATGCACGGGCGCCGGTGCAGCCTGCTGCGTATCCTGCCGAACCCAATACGTATAACCCGTCGCCTTCTTTAGAGCCTCCATAACTAGCCTTCCTCACCCGAGGTACCCTCCGACCTCCGACGCCAATTCGATGAGATATTTCACTCGAACCCGCTCGCCGCCTCCAGAAGCATGCGATCCAGCTCCCGATGAAACCCCAAATCCGAACAGCTTCCGCAAATCGCTGCCTCGTCCGCCCACCTAAACCCTAGGCAATTCCGTTCGGCAACCTGTCCAACAGAACCACGATGAATCGCTCTAACTTCCTGCAACAACCGAACCAAGACAGTGCGCAAAATTCCCGTCGAGTCGAGCGCGTGGGCGAGGGCCTCTCGTCAACCCTAAAATGCCAAAATCGCGATGCTCCGGCCACCGCTGCAGCAGCAGCTGCGTTGACTCGTTCGATCGGCTTCTGTCCAATTGAGCTTTCCGAGAGCGAGAGAGAGACGAGGAAGACGAAGAAGGAGACGAAGAAGAAGAAGCAGCAGCAGCAGCAGCACAAGGAGGACAGCAGCCCAACCACTGTACTGCAGTAACGGCGATCCTACGAGGTTCGCACCGGCTGGCGGCGGTCGCTGGAAATTTCGCGACTCTTCCATGGCAGATGTTCCCCGACCCTGCGGACGACCGGCTGTGCCTGGATTCTCGGAAGGAGCGCTCGGCCCGACTGTGCCAAGTTCCGACGACGACGACGACTCCCCGTTCTGTGGCTCCTCTTCTCCGACTGCGGTGACGTGGTTTCGATCCATCATCGCTGACCACGTTGAGCTGCGGCCGTAAAAGCGATGGTTTGACATATCTGTCGGGACTATAATACCAAACGTATTATATCACGTTCAGAAGTCCACCTCATTCGTAGATGTTACCGTCTTCTATCACCTCCTCGTCCTCGAATATATCGTCGTTATGGATACCTTCGACGCACTCGGAAACATTATCGCCATCAAATTCTTCAATGCTACCACCACCGGCTTACTCTTTGACGGATATTCTTCAGCTTTATATAACTCTCAGGGCGGAGCTGCTGCAACCACTTGCAAAACTTTATATTGATATAGCGATTTTAAAGATCTAGATAATTCTAATTAACAGAACGGTGATTTGGTCTCGGTCTTGCCAAACCGAGGTCGTGAACGATTATGAATTAGTTTGGCGCGTTGTGATTGCCTTCACCACCACCACTTCTCGGATTCTTGTGCAATGCGGGTACGCTATTTTGGATGTCATCTTAGTACTAATAATCATAACATAAAGTACATGATTCAAGTACATTGACTTGGCATCAGCCTGTCTACAAAAAATTCAGAATTTCTCCCAATGTCCTCTTTTGGCTTTCTCATTTCCAGTAAAGTAAGATAAATTTGAAATTTCACACATATAACAAACTATAGACACTTGTAAATATCATTAACTATTTTTTAATATATATTTATACAAAATGTAGTTTGGAAGAGAGCGGCTAGATTTCAATCACTTAGGGTTAATTAGCGTCACTCTACTCTAAACTCTCATCTGATTGGACTATACAGTGTTATAGGGTTAGTGAGTTGAATAGCATCTAAAATAGATGTTCGACCATACAGGGTTAGTGAATTTAATAGCATCTAAAATAGATGTTCGACCAATCAGAGAAAAGAGAAGTAAGGTGAGACTAATTAATACTAACTGAATGATAACTAGCCCTTCCCAGTTTGGAAGTGTTGCATAATACATACAGTAGTCATAATATCACAATTATACATACATACCTATAGTCGGGATTTCCGATGGCTTCCCCGCGTTACCACAGTTTCCACGGTGCGTGGTGGGAGGTCACGGATTTAGTCACGTCCGGATTTGCTTCGAACATACCGAGATCCGTGGCCCTTTGGACCCAATCGCACAGTCGAATTCCACGAACAAATGCGGCTTTTAACGAAGTCTATAGAGTTCGTGAGAGATGTTGCCTTGTGTCCAGTTCAGTGAATAGTTGTTGCAGTGAGCAAATACTTGGAATCACGACTACAATTGAGGCCTTATATGATACACACACATCTTAGCGAGGCAAAAATTATTATTATGTTGTTTTTCACAAGCAGAGAAGAAGCGAGCTTGTTTGGCATAATATTTTGTTTTTTCTCTTTTGGTTTGAATAAAGTTTTACCTTTAATGGTACACAACATATTCTTGATTTGTTGCCAATGTCGACTGGTAAAGCCGGTACAATGAAAAAGACGAATATATGGATATCTTTTTGATCTCTTGGGCCAAAGGGCCCTTAGGGAGAGGTCTTTTTTTAGTAGAAATTTGCTTTGCATAATGCTATTTTTTTTAAAAAAAATTCAATACGACTATTACAACGCTCACAACAGGTATGGCCTTTGGGTCCTATTTACTCCCCATGCTTTTGCACTTTAGCGTCAGTTTAAGAACCAGAAAGCTGCTTCCGCTTTTGGCGTTCCTTCTTATATTTTTGCATTTTATCGCTAGACACAAAATTCCGCTTTCCCCTATGACTTAGGCTCATGCCACATGACAGGAAGCCGGCAGTAACGTCCTGGCTAGATAATAACCTGCCCTCAGTCGGCCAACTGGAGATAATCCCGTAAACTCTACCACATTGCCGGAAGTGACTTCGGAGTGAAAAGTAGCTACCGACATATATCTAGTGAAGGAGTTCTAGGGAGGAGTAACTTGAGAAGGAGCGAAAATACACACGGAGTCGTTTTAAAACAAAGTTTCCAGCGGAAGTGCCCGATACTTCACATCAACCAATTCCTTCGCCATCTAGGATATCTTAAATTGCTGCTCCCTCCCGTGTAGTAAAGGGGGAGCTGATCTACTAATGACCGGCGAGTGTTCACGGTCGGTGTGGCTTGGCCCTTAGTGATTCAATTGTCATGAATACACGAGACGGGGAAGCTACTTTTGCAAGTGACCAGAAGAAGACTAATGATTACATAAATGAATTTAAATTATGGATTCTACTCGTTGTAATTTTGGTGTTTTTGGGATTTACAAAATATAGACACACATTGTCAACAAAATGTCTAAATGCGAAATATTTATCATATTTGTATATGGGCTTCCTGTCCTTCAGATGCCACTTACAGTCGCGTTTAAGTATAACATTCGAAGGTACAATCGATTCCTCGTAGGTTAGAAGGTAACACATCTGCAAAGGGGCTGTAGGGCAGAATACATCTATTGCCCAAAGGAAGATTTTCGACGCAGTGTAAGCTTCTAACTGTTCAAAAATAGCGACAAAAACATGACATAACAAAGGCCCATATGTAGTGCATGATAAGCTGAAGAAAAAATAGATATGTGACAGCACACCTGAGTCTCGATATTGTCGAGCAGCTCTCCCTGTGCCTCAACTAGTACGGCCATATCCAAAAATATCTGTACAAGGAAACAACCAGAAGTAAATCTCCCTCCCTATACTTCAATTTAATTAATCCCTGCAAAATTATGCTACAACTTTTGGCAACGTTTACATACTAAGACTTAAGTCATATATATGCACCTGGTGTAATTCCAGAAGTTTCTTCTCGATATCCTTCACGGCATCATGTAGCTCTTGTATTTCAGCAATTGTGTCCAAAATCTACCGGAACCGCACCACGTTAGCAAAGCAGGATAAAACTTTATCTAAATCTTAGAATTTTACACCACACAGAGCTGTCTGGTAAAATTTAAGATAACCTACTCACCTGGCCTCGCCCTTGTTCTTGAATGGCTTTCTGAAAAATTTGTTCACTATCCCCAGTTTCTATCAGCTGGTCAATGGTCTGCAGTCCACAAAGCGGAACCACAATCATGAACTGCCCGTTTCTGTACTCGACGAAAATGTTGTCTGTCCTAGCACAGCAGGTCCTGTACACTCTTGCCATTGCTTGCTCACAGACAATCTAACCCTCAGGTAGATTCTGAGCAATACTCCTGAGTTCCAGAGTAGAAATCTCGGTGTAGGACTCCCTACTTTGAACCAAGCTTCAACTCGAATTCAGCTAGATAACTACATGATATGTTAAAAAAAACCATCTGTCATTGCCATCTTTAGGGATTGTATGGTTACAAATTTACTTACCCCCTCATCAGCCTTCTGTCCAGTTACTGTCCGTTACACACAAGCAGATGTCAAAAAGGATCAGAGTCATGTCAAGCTGATAACAACAAGTAATCAAGTGTAGGCGATTAACCATTTTCTTAAGTAGAGTCTTCACATATCACTTGCAGAGTTTAGGTTGAGGTTCAGAGACAATGAGGTGGGAAGGTGGGCGTAATATGCATTACACTTAGAACTCATGCATTGTACAAGGAATTGCTTTCAAAGTTCCCTCCCCAGACTTTTCAAATACTAGTATGCAAGATCAAACGACAAGGGAAGCACTAGTAACCTCAAGGTGCAACCAATGAAACCGATCAGAGAGCAGTTAAAAATACATGATAAAACTGTACCGCCCGTAACTTTGTGCTTCAAATCCAAACTTCTAGAAGCCTTCTTCTCGGACGCCGAAGAGATGGATTAAAACGACATCGTCAGACCATTGAATTGCAGCTGCACGTTTCGTGGATGCATGTTGATGTCTCCAATTATGCTGAAAGCCGTATGAACGATTGTTTTGTGAAGGGGAACCTCGAGATTAAAGAACTCCGTGATTCCCCGTTAAAAATTAACAGTTTCCTTGACCTCCCGATTTCGAGAACTCTTCCTTCGACCCTGGACAAGCAAGAACCTTTTACGGTGGTGGGTTGTAACCTGCTTCCCTCAAAACTCTAGTATCAGGAAGTCAACACTCCAAATGGTTTCCTTCATAGATTAATTTAGTTCCAAGTTTTACGGTCACTATATATAATCCGTAACTGCTCGCTCAACCCTGCAAATCCAATTGTAATCACAGAGTTTAAATATGACTCTATACTCAAAGTTATTCCAATCTAGTCAATCTCATAGAACAGTCTTTCTTGTAAGTCGTCTTCTAATAAAACCTAGTCTATCAAACTCTCGTCTCATTGTTAAAAAAATATCTAGAACATAGTCAAAGTAGGTTAATTTTACTTTCAATTTTGAGTCATAACATCAAGCTGCCAACTCTGTAAACCTTATCAATCTTGGATCTTAGTTCTGGGTCTTTACATCAGGTTACCAAAAAAGTCCTTCAATCTCCATATCTGCCTTGATAAGATTTCAAAACTTCATAAAACCTTAAAATTATCCAGTGACGTCACTATACCAAACTTCAAGACTAATGAGAACAAAGAATGTCATTTCTATTTTAATTCAGCCAAAATAACGCAATCTAAACTGAGATCTTTATATGCAACTTAAACACATTCATCAACCATCATATAGACACAATATAGTGCATCTCATAAAAAGTCAAAATAATAGCTAAAAACCGAACAAATATCAATATAAATATAAACGTAATTTGACATTGTATAAGTTGCCAATATTGTCACAACGATCATAGATCATATGATGAGTTATGATAAAAATATGATCTACTAAAATCATATTTCACACATTAAAATGTACCACAAATGTCAAATTTGAATACATAAAATGTAATTTTTACAGAATTCTATACATTCATGTTAGGATTCAATTCAGTTTCAAATTTAATGTTAGTTCAATCCTAGTTAGGGTTTAGCTTAAGCTGTACTTTTTAATAAAAACTAGCAAAAGCTCTCGTTAATTTTTCTAGGTTTCACTAATGAAGTCTTTCTGTGTTCCCGTGGTAGTACTCCACAAATGCAGCCACATGCTTTACTGATTACGCTTCAATGTGAAGTTGTTTTGGTGTGTGTTTGTGATATTTTTTTTTTCATCATTATTCATCCCAACAATTGCTATATGAGCAAATCTTGGCAAGACTCTTTGTGAAATAGCTCGCCCCACACTTTTGAATTTTTGGTGTAAAAAAAGAATTAGTTTAGTTTGCTACCTCATATTTGTTGACATCTTTTTATCGATCTGCATTTTCATGATCATTTGAAGTTAGTGGAGATGTAGGTTGTCTTATTGCTTGGTTTCATGGCTAGGTTTATTGCAGTTTGATGGTTATGGCACTTTTTCAGACTCATAATTGTATGTGTGAATTAAGATAAAAATAATTCAAAGAGTTTATCACAATTAATTTAGCAATAACTAAGCTTAAATACTTATGATTAAACTCAACTATCAAATTTATAAGTGGGGAAATAATTAGAAGTTATGAATGAGCATTATTATTTAATATCATGTCAAAGTCTACGTGCTAATTGGAAAAAGTACTTTGATCACATGTTAGTTTTGATTGATTTTATTAAATAATAGAATTTTCATTAGTTAGACTAAATCAAAAGTTTGATTTGATAATATGTGAAAGTTCTAGAAGTTTCAAAGTGCCTAATGACATCCTGCCACTTTAATCTAGGACAAAAGAATTCTAAAAGATTGATAGAAGCTAATGACCTGATGCCATGTAATGAAAATTAGTCATAACTATCAATGATAATGATGATTGTATGATAATTATACTGTTTTACTTAACTAATTTCTCAAGTAATTCAAAAAAAGTTAGACAAAAGACTCTCAAGCAATTTAGGAAAATTCATGTGTAATAATTTAAAACATCATTGAAAGTTTAAATTTACAAATAATTTTGGAGTGTCAATGAGCTTTAGATTTGAATAATGAATTGAAAGTTTGTGTGCGTGTGTTTGTTGCGGGCATGTAGATGGATTATTAACTTCTAGAATCATGATGAGGTATGGAAAAGCAATATGAGTTAAATCTGAATGAAAGTCAACTTGGAGGTCAACTACTCCTTGGAGTGAAAGAACTTGAGACTTGCATGTGAGCTTGATAGTATATCATTGACGATGAAAGAAGAAGTGGAAAGATGGAGTATGTTGTCCTTGCAAAAGAACCGTTTTGTCAAAAGATAGAAATCCTCTCTTTAATTCATGACTTTGTTAAGATGCTACATCTACTTTACCTAATATATCTCAAGATATTTGAATGTGATTCAAATGATATATTTGAATGAACAAAAAAATTACAAAAATTAAAAATTAATATTTGTCCTAAAAAAATTTTCAATAATAATAATAGCAAAAAATTAAATAATATATATATATATTTTTATATATTTTTAAATTTTTATTGAATGGTAAAATAAAATCAATTGATTAGAAAAACCATAAAAAAATTAAACCCAAAAAATTCAAAATAAATTGAAAATTGAGTTATTTTTTATATATTATCAAAAAATATTAAATCCCAGTTTTTTAAAAAATTAGTTCATTTAATTAAATTTTATCTAAAATTAGGTACAATTTTTGAAAAAAATCTCTATGTTTTTAACATGTTATAAGCTCATTAGAATGCTATAGTTATTAATTTTCTTAATTACAATGCAATTAACTTCCATGAAGCTATGAGAAATTTAGAAATTATGATGATGAAAAAAACTTGGTTTATCATCTTATCATACTTTTTTTTTCATCAATTTATCATAGATATCAAAAAGTAGCCTAGCACTTTAATAAAATCAAGTTATCGTACAAATTGGAAGAGAATGTTATAAAATCAAAGAATTATTTAGAGATGATTTGTTTTTTTATATTATTTGATAATAAATTTTTTTTTCAAACATTAAGGTGAAATAATATCATGTTGATTTCTTTATTTTTTTAACATACAAATTTATAATTTTACTTCAATATCTTAAAAAATTGAAAAAGATTAATACTTATAATGAATAAATGCTGTATATTTTATATGGTTCAATAAAGAGTTTTATAATTAATTAGATTATAATAATTATTTTTATTTTTAATTATTACAGTAATAAAGTAGATTTTTATTTTTAAAATTATTTTATGTCATTTATATTATGAGCTTAACAAAATAATTTAAGATATGTATCATATTTTTTCTACAAAAAATATATATCACTCATGAATGTTGTTAAAAAAATATTACTCATTACAAAATTTGTGAAATGGCATAATAAGAAAATTTGATTTTTGAAGTAATTTTTTATAAATAACTTTAAAATTAGCAAGTTATTCTTGGTTGATTATATTATTGAGTATTATATGATATATATTAATGATTGTCATCTTAACAAGATCATAAAACATGTTGAAACTTTTGAAAAATGAAACATGAAGTTATCAATCAGAATTGAAATTGATGACAATGCGTTAGATAGAAAATATCAATTGTTGTTCAATGAAAATAATCAGATGTGTATAAATTTTTTGAAATAATGTATTGTTATGAAGTTTATAATTATTATTGTTCATGAAAATTACAACATGTAATGTGATAAAACTTCTAGAAAATTGTTCTTTGATTTATAATAAGTGAATGTATACAATGAATGATACAAATGCATATGCTTATTTGGAAATTGCCAAATTTGTCATAAATCAGCCGACTATGACGTCACCCAATTTTTATTTATGACAAATATGATCACAATTTAAATTTTTTTGAATGTTCTTGAATGACTTAAAATGCAAGATGCACTCAAGTGACAGATTCATCAAGAACGATATGTACTCATCTCTTTCCCGCTAACCAAGGAGTAATCATCCTTTACAAGCATAGTACTAGGATATACACTAGGAAAAATTCTAGCAAACATTCAATGTTTGAAAAATCGAGGTTCAAAATTACTCCATGCTTCAAGCAAGTCTATAGATTTTGACATTTGATACATGGTTTTGTGAAGTACATGTGTTCGTGTGAATATGTATCGCCATATAGTCTACATCGCTGATATGCTACACACAAACACAAATAGGACGCGATATCGTAGACACTCAAATGTATCACAATTGAACGAGAGTTTTGAGTTTATGTTATTTTGAGCACGAGTTCTTCGAGTGAAATTAGTCATGTTAACTTCACTGGTTTAATACATGAACGTCACATATAGTCGAGCCCAACCCACTCACTAGAGAATCTAGATCAATGCTTACGGGCATCATAGTCAACCCACTAAAGACTATTTCCAACGCTACAGGTTCAACTCAAAGAACTAAATGTTCTTCGAGTCTTCACCCTTATACTCTCTTCGACTCCTAACTCTATGTCAACACTAAAAATAGCAAATTCAAAGACACATGACACATCTTCTCTTTGATAAGCAGTACGTAATACTTTTTGCTCTTGTTCCAAGATGTCAATGGACTCGTTGTTGAATTTTTTTTCAATTAAAGATTGATTTTAATGATGATGTTCACAAAGCTTGATGCATGCATAGTCGCAAATTTGTGAGGAAGACATAAAAGATAAAGATGTTGCCGATTCATTATTACCAATACTTTCAGGCTCGATCTCATGTATTCCTATTTCTAGATTAACAACTAGGTTTTTAACACAACAAATCACAACATTCTTTCAAGCGTTGGACAAGTTATCAAATGACAAACATCTCAAAGCAAAGTTCACAACAATGTTCTTGGCAAACTTAAAACTTTTTTTATAATATTATGTGCCTTGATCTTGTTCCTCGATTTGCGATTTGGAAAATGTATTTTGCAATACTATCACGTTCCAAAGACAGTGAATGAATCTAAAGAAGTCAACTTTGTATTGTGTTACTAGCAATGTAAAATGCTACAATATTTTGAATAGAATGTTAATCTCTGCAACAATTGAGACTAAATAAAACAATCCATCACATGGATTGTTTTATTTAGTCTCAATTGTTGCAGAGATTTATTTTAAAGAGTGTCAATTATATACTAGAGATAGTTGTTTTGAAATCAAAAAAAATTTTATCCATGTATTCAAACAATGAATTGAAAATCAATGCATCACATTTTCCAATGAACATCAACGAGTCATAACGACCTTTAAAAATTTAGATCTCATCTTGTTGATCAACATATGCTATCGATAGGTATCTAATAGTGGCAATTAACGTAGAGTAAAATTCATTGTTGAGATATAAAAAAATACAACAACTTGAATTACAAGATTGAGTTGATGTACATTACAACTACAAATTGAATCAAGAAGCAACCATCGTGTTCAATTTGATTAGAAACACAAGTAATTATTTCACGTATTTGACCTGTCATATCTGGACATCATCAAACAAAACGGAAAAATTGTATTCATAGTGTTTTAAAAGTCTCAAACAACTTGTCTCTAGTGTCATGTTCGTAAAGAGTAAGATATCATAAATTAAAGCAATACAACCTAGTGTACATAGTAAATTTAATTTGAACGTCAAAATACAAGTATCTCTCAACAAATGATATCATAAATTAAAGCAATACAGCCTAGTGTACATAGTAAATCTAATTTGAACGTCAAAATACAAGTATCTCTCAACAAATGATGAATCGAATGCAACAGAAAAGTCTTAGCAACCAACAAGTATTTTGCCAACTTTTTGAACGCAAATGGCGATAGGAACCCGGACAAACAATGATATTTTTGCCTCATTGCATTTGCCAAAATAACTGAGAGCCAATTCTTTCCATGCACACTCCACTTTGCGCTATAAATTTTAATGACAAGCAAAGACCAACCATCTCAATAACAAGTTTGAAAAGTTTGATGTTCATAATATGAACTTAAAAACATACAATTATGTTTGTTGAATTTGATTGGCTCAAAAAGTTTCAATGCACTATGAATAAAAATATTATTAACTTCACGATCAAATAAAAACGTGCGTAAAATTGTGTTGACGATATATACAGCTGATATCAACATATATGTTGATATCAAAATACAGCTCATCATCACATACAACAAAATGAGCATGGATAGTATTTATAAAAAAAGTATCATCAAAGAAAATTTGTTTGACATCTATTGACAAAGCACAATAATCATCTCACTTCAAAATATATTGGCTTTCTTCATGATTCTCTTAAATTCTTTTAAACCATTCTTTTAGACACAAAATCTAAGAAAGTATTCGATAGATGGAGTTGTTGCATTGCTCTATTTATCTAATATGATATCAAGGTTGATTCTACTCTTATTCAAGGATGCTTGAATCAAGACAAGCCCGAATGACGCTTCTTGCTTTGAATCAACTCTGTGCTATTTGTCACAACAATTACTCAAGATACTTAAACCCCGTGAGGTTCCAAATTTTGACAACCAAAGACCAAGATCTTCCGGAGTATCGAACCTGTGCTTCTTTCTAAAATTCCGGTTCGACGTTAGGCGGACTGAATTTGCTAAAGAATTGTTTGTGTTGATCAAATTGGTGATAGAGCCTGAATTGAAGAAAATTTTAAAATTTTGCTTGAAATTATAAAGATTTCTAAACTTCAAGCAAAATTTCATGGATTTGTGAAGTTTTTTTAAAATTTTCCAAATCAGGGTTAGCGTTCCGCACCACTGTGGTCAGGAGCGGAGCCATAGAGGGGGGCCGGGGGAGCATGCCCCCGCAAGCCCAGGAAGGGTCTACACAGATTGTGAGTTACAGAATGTGAAATTGAATGTTACAGAATGGCGGGTAGCACCCCCTCGCCCCCCCCCAGCTGAAAAAAATGAAAAATTTTTTTCGGAATTAAAACATTTTTGAATAGTAAGTACCGCGGTAGCCGCTGTAAATAATAATCGGTACGCGAAAACAGAGTAAAAAGGTAATCTCTGGGTCTAGGAGACTCGAGTGCAGTCTAGGGGTTTTGGCTTAGGCCACGGTCGTGCGCCTTGGACGGAACCGACGGTTCATGCTGAAGTACTCGCCTTCAGCGCAAGTAGAGGGAAGGGCCTTCGGCTCAAGCTCCTTGGTGGAGGCTCTATCGCTAAAGACGTACGAAGCATATATTACGGAACTCCTTCGTTGGTGGAAACGACCTCGTCGCTAGACTTCGTCTTCGGCTGTAGACTCCTTCGGCCAAGCACCTTCGGCATGAGCGCCTTCGTTGCTAGTGACTTCGGCTCCGGAACACTACTTCGGTGGAAGAAGAAAAGAAAAAGAAAACGGCTGAGGCGAGTGCCTTCGCCGCGAGCGCTTTCGGCGATACGCGGACGGAGAGTGAATACGCCGCCGATTTCCGCCGGCGAATGTACAAGTGTGGGAGTCCGCTCAACATCGGAGAGTGAATTCGCGCGTGCAAATCAGAATGTACAAGTGTGGGAGTCCGCTCAACAGCGGAGAGTGAATTCGCACGTGCGAATCAGACCGTTACACCGGCATAGCATTCAAGCAGGTCGCTGCCAGTTACACCGGCATAGCATTCAAGCAGGTCGCTGCAAGCCCAATAATATGCCTTTGGGGCCTGGAAAGATCGTTTGTTTTGCGCAGGTTTACGTGATACTCCCATCCTTTTCACTATGTTCTTTTCATCAATGTTGCCTTTACTTTGGACTTGTTACCCCTCCTCTACTCATGCGTGTTGCGTTTCAGATCGTCAGCAGCCCCTTAACGTCCTCGTATGTTCTGTGCCCATGTAATCTAGGCCTGCGTCTGCAGCGCAGTAAGAATTGCATATTTTCGAGTATGACTCCAAGTAGTCTCCAGTGGTTAATGAAAGGCTGAGTTGATTTCATCGAAGGTCACTTGACGTTACGAATAGATTGTCCATCGGAGGCCAAAACGACAACAATTTGGATCTGAAACTTCAAGATGGATCAAGGATTCTCCTCAGTCTTCGAGAACTGGACGCGTCACAATGCACAAGTTTCGAAAGGATTTCGTCCATCGCGGTAGAAACGAGTACAACATCCTGCCCTCAGAGATCTATTCAATTTCACTGCGACAGTAGCTGTAAATGTTTCTTACTACTGTGGAGACTCTACATCTCAGTCATCGTGTCAAGAGTCAGTACAAGCTGTGCAATCAATGAGACAGTGATAACAGAGACTCCATGAGTGATGGTAGAACCGACTCCTCATACTTCTGCGGTACTCTTCGTTCGAAATACGCAAAAAATTGGTTATCATCCACATCATCCCGAGATATCAGCTTCTGCACTACTATGCCCGTAGTAAAAACAAAAAGAACCCTGACAGGGACTATGAAGTATGCAGAGTAAAATTCTTCCAAAACAATGACTGTGGCTCTTTAAACTCGTTAACCAAAACAACGAATGAAAAGGATTAACTGTGCTCTATGATATTTCCTGTGATAGTCTAAACTCATTGAAAATATACATCGACATAGAAAACTATACACCAGTTGTTGAATCAAGATTGTGAATTTTAGCGAGAAAACGTTGTTTGCTGATTAGTGTACAGGGCACCAGATGGTTGGTGCGTATGATGTTTACTTACTGATAAAATCTTACAGTCCAGAACATCAATAGATTGGACAACCACGTCCTTGTTGAAGCAAGGCAGTGTCGAGTACAGAAGACTATGCAAGGTATCTCTACATGATGAAGAAGAACGAAGAATAATCTTTGGCTCCATGGTGTAAGGTGCTATTGACAATTCACTCAATCTTGTCATGGTAATCCCATATGCCACATGCTTGACGCTAATTCTGCATCTCTATCCTGACTACTGTTACCGAGTGATTGGAGAATTTGCCCAAGCTCACTCTTTCAACAATGAATAAGACTCAAATCTTTCATGACAGAAGCACTGTTCTTCATCGGATTACAGCTTCTTCTGGCTCTGGCACACCCATACTACCTCCAACCATGTCCACGCTCACCAACCTCGCATCGCTTTCCTGTCTTTTCCTGGTATCAGGTCCTTTACCGCTCGACACCTGAGAATTAAGCAACACCAAGTAATCCATGACAAGAGGATCTGTCCATGGGGCACCCAACGGAGCTTCTCCTCCAGCAATCCATCCTAAATGTCCTCCACCTGGAGTAACGACCAGTGCGCAATTCTTGTTTGCCTGCACAGGAGTTCTCGACGGTCAACTCACTTGACTTCATTTCGTACTGCTACTGTCTAAATAAGTACTCTTTAGAAGTCGTTTTGAATCATCACACTCATCACGAAGCCTCGACAAAAAGGTCGTCAAAGTGCGTCGTTCCGATTGCACTTTGCCTAGTAACAGATCCAGCAGTGATGTATAAGTCCGCTCAATACAAGTTTTCAACTGCATTGGTTAAATTTGAATGCTATGATTTGGTCAAAGAAGCTACAAACGAAGGTAGATCACAGAATGTGCTTACCTCAATGTCAGCTCTTGGTATACCAGCTGCTGGTGCAATTGGATCATCTTCAGCCTGAAGTTTCATAACGTGAGACAGACCTTCAAAAGAAACTCAGACTAACGAGACTCTTGGGTCAGATCTTTTCAGAACTGACCCGTCTTCTAACAGAAATCTACGAAGTAGTGTGAAAATATCGAGCTTTTCATGGTCCTCTGAAGACTACGGACAGGTAGGGTAGAGAAAGGGACCTGTACGCATAGAAGAGGGATTCTGACATCCTTAATAGAGCGAGAACTGGATGAAAAGTCGTAGTATTCATCCACAGTTTTGAAGCCAAACGACACTGCTCGTGGACCACAAAGACAATACGTCAGCCCATTTTCACCACTTCATCTCGGAAAAACTGGAAGTATAAGAAGAAGAAGAACGTCCATAAATGTAACCATACACAAATTAAAACTGCAATACTTTCGGAAATCCCAAACGCCTGTAGGAGAGACGTGCATCGCAGGTATTTTACTGCCAGAATCTTGGAGCTCGAATTCTATTCTTGCGTGTGCAAAGGGTCCGTGAATTATATCGAAGGAGAAATACCTCTAGTGATTCCCTCGTCAAAGTCCCTGACAGTTTTTGGGTTGGCTGCTTTTTCAATGTTATATTCTCCACCGATTCCTTCGAAGAGTTTTGCATGTCTGTAACGAAATGATAATCAAAAAACTAAACGGCATGGCCACTTAAGAGATTCATTTGGAATCTACGGATTTCTATATGAATAATTCTATGATAGGTAATTGAGTAAACTGATTGGTGTAGGGGCTTACTTCTTGAATATCTTTTGCAGTGCTGAGGCCAAACTTTTATCATAAATGTTGTTGAAACCTTGGTGGAAGTTTATATCCGCTAGTACCAAGTCAAAGGGATTACACAATGAAACTGCACCTGACAGTACACAGTTTTCACCCTCCTGCACATGTCCGATCAAATTCTGAGATTCCTGTCTGGAGGAGGAACACGCATGGAGGAACTTAAAGCAACTTGGTTAAGATTATAGCTGGGAAGTCAAAGTGATGATATACCTGACCCAGATAGCGGACCAGAATGTTGGCACCCAACGACCAGCCAGCGGCATAAATTCTCGAATTTGAACAATAGTTGGCGACATACTTAACAACTTGACGGAGATCCTCTGTAAAAGACGCGGAGTAAAACTGCATAATAACACTTCACACTGTTAACTCGAAGTCTGCGGCTTACCGAAAGCACAAACTTTTTTTCCAATCGTAACACCGAGGCTACACTCTACCATCACATGCTCAGGGGAATTAGCCGAGTAGGAAAGTGACATACCTGAGGAGAAGTGACGGGACTGTCGCCACATCCACGACTATTAAACACTACAGGTCTCCATCCTGCCTTCCTCGCTCTCACCAACATGTGCCTCACATATGTATCACCGCTGCCTCCTGTCAAACCAGGCTGCAACCAAGGAATGTGTCGCAACGAGCTATGGCTAAGCACTTGAACCTCAATAGACATCAACTCACTAACTGATGAGGAATGCTCAGAAAAATTCTGGACGCCCACGTGAACCACGGAAATGTGCGTTCTCATGGTTTGAGGACGTCAACGAACAACCATCTATGTGATACAGAAACAATATGGAATTCGCAGCCGCTACTGCTGTCGGCGGAGGTGCTTACATCCTAGTGGCAAGCATCACAGGAAAAATTCACGATGTATGGGACGCTGTAAGACGGACCAGAAGAACAAGCACTGGCGCATCCTCCGGCAAATCACTACTCCACAGGCCTGCATCTTCACCACCAACAGGCCAATCCAAGGCTACTGTTCCGCCATCCACCATTTTCAGACATTCCCTCTTGTACTGGATAGTTGGCAAAGTCCGAAAGTAAGCGGCAAAAATAGTCTCCACGTGACAGTTGCTGAGCAGGAGAGGCCTTTTATACGGTTCCTTGAGAATGTTTATTCTTGTAAGAAGCTGTTTGTTAAAGCTCTCTTGATTCACCAACACTTCCACCTGATCCGCAGCACGCAAGCTGGAAATTCCATGACGAGAGGTACAAAAACATACAATAACATCAAACGCAATTTTTGCTTTGCTCAAGGTCTACAACGTCTGCGTACACAAGGCCGAGCTGATGACAGGCACTCACTGGACATGCAATGGCAGCTACAGATAAACTGACCAATTTCCAATTCTCCATTTTGACAAATATATGTGTGTTCCAAAGGACACAGTACGCATCCATGGAGGAATTTCAAGTGATGTTGATTACCTCGATTGAATGCAACAAGAACGTCTCGGGGAAAACGTACGTCCTCTTCTGTCAGACTTCCAATCGGAATTAAACAATGTATTCGATGATGACAGATAGTTCCTCAAGGAGGAACGCTTATCTTGACAATCATACAAAAGCGGAGGATCGGCTCGTCCAAATTTCAACGAACAAATTTGAGATCGATGGGTTTTTACTGAAGACGTAAAATTTTTCATAAGAGGCGATTCGAATGAGCTCGGATATTTCCGAAATGACCGCCACGACAGGGTGTGGCCTTTACCTCCTGTCACCACCGATGATGACTGAAAAACATATTTGTAAGGTATTCCCGCACATTTCATGTTACATACAACACTGGAAGAAACAGCAGTGTCCATTTTCGGGCGACTTAACCGCCAAGCTGCTTACAGCACCATAAAATGGGATGCAGGACGAGTGAAGAATTGAACAAGGCAGGGGAGCTCAGCTGCTGGGAGTTTCGTTACGAGTTACAGCGAAAGCTCATCTCATCGAAGGGATCCCTCATACGAACCAGCCACGCACAGCCAGGAACTCACGTCATTCATATACGACGGCCTGAGCCTGAGAGCAGACTGCCAGTGGACGCTATCAGTAAATTACCACTGCCATGGACCTCGCCGAATCCGGCCTGTCTTTCGTTCGAGGCTTACACAGGCAGTTACTTCTCGGGTGATGCTTGCAATGCCCAATCAGCGAGAAGAGCTGGAGCCGATTTATGCACCCTTCCCCGACCTCAGAATCGAGGAGCCACCCAAACGCAGCAGCAAGGGCAGGGGAAGGGGAAGGAGGAGCGGCTACGAGACCTCAACTCATCGCAGGCTTTAATGCACCAGTCCATGCCCGGACGAGCAGAAGCGGCTCGGACGGTACCGGCCGCATTTCTCCGCGCGACGGAGTGTATGCGTGCGGAAGCGATTTACGGCGATGGATGGCGGATCTACGGTGGTCCCTCGCACTTCCATTCTGCGGTCTGCGGTTGTGAAGCCTCCCTGCCAAATGGTCGGCGATTCACGACGGATGAATTTCGCATTATTCGGGAAATTGGAGGCTATTAGCGTCTTCTGTCGGGGTCTAGTATAGGGACAGACACTCTGAGAGAGAGAGAGAGAGAGAGTACCAGCACGACGGGAGCCACGTTCGTGGGGCAGCCATGATCCGCTTCGTGCGAGCTATTGCTTGCGCATGAATCTGCTCGTAATAACTAGAAACAGCTCAGCCATCGGCGCCCTGCTGAATGTCCAGTCTTCCTGCGGGCGCCCGTGCTTCACCATTCCCGTCCCGTACCGACATCAGAGCGTGAAGGTCTCTGCGATCGATCGCGTCGTTGTAACCGCACATTGAAAGCTGACCACGATTGCCGACCCCGTCTCGTGAAGCGAATGGCGACAGGCGCAGGTCCTCTGCCGCCGTGCTGAAATATTCGCAACATTTTTGCGTCAGACTCTGCGCCCAACCAACCAACCAGCGGGCGCCGGAGGAGTGTGACTTGGCACCCATTTCAGGCTTGTATCACGAGCCGCATTACTGGACGCGAAAGCGTCCACGCCGCTGCAGTCGTCCCGCGTGGCGCGTGCGATGCGGTGGGCCCCGCAGGCTCCCAGCCCTCCCGGTGACCTTTATCTATGACGCAGGACGAAGCCCGCGCTGGTCGTTGCTTCGAATCCAGTTCCGGTTTCCATTCGCGGGTGAGCCTGTCAAAGCTAGATCCTTGGGGTTCAGCTCGCCAGTAGCATGCGAGCCTTTGCCAACCTACTGATATTCTCCGCCGTAAATCAAGTTTTGTTTCAGTCTCGATAGGTATATAACAGGATGTACTTACAACGATGTGTTGATGATATTATTTATTGTTCCGATATTCTTGCAATGGAATAAGTACTGGAAAAAAAACACAGTAGGTGACGTCCACATTACTAGGATGGCGACCTTTCGTGGTGAGAGATGGAGAAGTATCTTTTTGCTTCAATTTTATATTTAAATATAATCTTTGAAAAGCACAAGGGTGGAAATTCAAGAATTGTAATGTGCAATCATTCAGCCAAAAAAAAACCATTCGGTTTTCTAGTATTGACTTATATATTATCTCTTAAAATTTACTAAGGTGATCTTGACTATCTTTATATTGACAATTCTAACGATTTCAACCCGACATATCTTATAACAATTACAATATTAAAATGTTATATCAAACTTTGGAACACAAAATATGATTCCAAATAGCAACATTGCATGTAATCATCTTGAATATTCGGGTTATTGTGCAAGACTCCGATGATGAAGATGAGACGCTAACCATTTTAATCACGTTTCATTGAACAAGCTCGTTCAGGCTCGTGACGCTCGACATCCACGTGATTTCTTGTTTCATCGAGACCATTGACTTATCGAGTTGGAAGGAATCGTAGAAATCTGCAACCAGCCAAAGTCTTACCAAACAAATCTTGACTAAGTAGATACATTGATATCTATACAACCTTGAAACATATAACATAACATCATAATAGTATATATCATAAATTATTTTGGATTTAGAAGTCAACCTTGTATCTTGACCTGTGATGTACTCAACCATGTAGCAATATTGTAGTACAACACTCAACAACAAGGTATGACGTATTCACCATGTTCATTTAGAAACAGTACAAGCCTTATCCAAGCTCCGGTACAAACTGTGGTAAACTCTAAGTGGTAGTCAGCATACATGTGCTTAACATCGTCCTTCAGTACATGGACTTGTTCACTTTTCAATCGTCACCATCACAGTCTTAATACTAAACTTGCAGAACTCCAGAGCATCAAACAAACAAAAGACAGTAATTTATTTGGGAATCCATCTATTTGAATATGCGTAGCCTAAATATAAAAAAAATTCATGGCGTAATATTGATAGCCATGAACAATCAATATTTATTTATTTATTTATTTATTCATTATCTTTGCATTCCCCAAATGATATTCATTTACTTTGGTTATCAGTCCTAAATTACTTCTTACGATTTTGATACTAAACCACGTTTTTTATTGAATATCTTTTTACAAAAAGCCTCTTTCTGAAATGTAAACGATAATATAAGGTTCAGATAGTGTTCTTCTCCCAAAAAGAACAAAATCTCATTTATATAGACTACAAACCACGCTTGGTGTAGTAAGAAACCATTTTATTAGAAGCTGGCAACGACCATTGAGCTCCAAGTAGTGAATGAAGCTATTGTTTGTATGGGGGTTAGTAAGGATTCAGGTCGGAAGTAGGGAGTTAAATTAGTACCAAGATTCCAATTTCTGAATATGATTCAAGTCAAACTATCTAGTATCGAGAGAACTATGTTAACTCAATATTTAGTGTATCATTTATTGAGAACTTTAGTAACCTAATGGATGAGATCAGATTATCTTACCTTTAGTCACATATGATGTTGCTTGGGATCTCACAAATGAACCGAACCTTGGATCTGACCATGACTTGGCATAACCATTCGTGTAGATCTTGCATTGGGAGGAAAAGAGCTGTTCGAAAGATTCAACATTGAAACTTGTTGGTCACGTGAGCTGTTGAGCAAAACACAGGATTTATTTGTTGACCCTACCGCCACGGCCCAAGTTCTTCCATAACAGCATATGCAGATATCAAGCTCACGCTTGTAGGCCTTACATTTGTTAGATTATGTGAAATCTAAGGACAATTTTCCAACCCTCCTGACAACCGTCATGCTAGATTTCTCTCCGTCAATGGTTGGAAAATGTCCCTGACTTGAGAATAATGCTCAAGTAGCAAGAAAAGTAAGTTGCTCGGCTGATAGTGCTACTCGTTTGATCATTTTCTGCTGTCAATCGTGCTGTCCGGTCCGGGCTTTGCTTGGTACAGAGGACAGAATCTTATTCACGTATACTGCGTGACCAAGACGTATCGCAAGAAGAAAGGACCAAGGATCACCAGGTTTGTGACGTGTTTTCACGACGCCTGATGTTGTGACGTCAGGCTCCGTGCTTCTCGTCTTAGTACTAAGTCATGCTATCCATGTATTCAGACATGACTTCATGGCCACCATCGGCATTTAGTCGAACTCTCCAAAGTACAGGTATTCAGACACATTGTTATGGCCCCTTTAATGACTCGCGAACTATTACTGTTGCGTGTTAGTTTGCATGTTGCCTGTCAGAGCACTACTTGACCAAGTTCACCATTTCCATCGACTTGGAAACACGACATTCTTTCGTCCTTTGCGCAGCATAAAAGAAAGTAACATGTCAGCCACTTAACAATGACGAGGATTGTACAAGAACAAAGAGATGCATCGCTCTGTGTACTCCTCGTTGCAAGAAGCTTCTGATGTGCTGGCTCTATGACAAACTTTTTTCAGCAGAGCCGCCGATCGATTCTCGTAGAAATCTGAGAATCTTCGAGTGAAAACATAAACACCTAATGCATCAGGTTTCAGTACGTAACCTTTGCAGTGACCTATGTTTGACGTCGGTGGGATCAACTCTACCGTATCTTCGCTAAAGTATTGGAGCGAAAATTCCAAGTTTTCTGAATAGCGAACATACCAAAAGAAGGCCCGTAATAAAATGCTCACATTTCCAAAAAAAATAGACGAGTACATTCTCGATTCTCGTTGCTACAGAGTGAATGGCTCACGGGCGAGAAGCAACTTCACATACATTTACTCTCTTAGTTGATTTGAGAATAATCATTCAGCCACAAGGATTATACACACAACTATGGTGATAAACACTCCTAGTTTCTCAAGCTGTCAATAGTTGTTTCCTACAGTATCCAACCAAACAGAAAGTAAAACTCTCAAGTGCCTCTGCATCCACTGCATCCATGCATGGTCATCAACAAAAAAATAGATAGAGAAGATAGTTATATTTTACACTCATGCATAATGATGCTTGTCTTGACAGTCATGTCCAACACAATTTCCCGGTATGTGGATTTATACCTATCCAAACTACAAAAACAAAATTCTATCTCGTAAAGATTTTACTGATGGTCGTGTGTGGTGACCGTCCCATGAGAAAAAGTCGAACTCAGTTGAGTACATCCGATTTCACCAAAGCCTGAAGAGATATTCGATCACATGCCTTGAGCTCAAACTGTCACAGTGAAGAGTCGAAGACACAATTCGTGAAACTTCAGCATACCCGCCAGATGAGAATCAACCTTGCTGCTTGTAAATTGAAGCTAGTTGACTCCAGCGATTTGTAGATCTAAAGATGTAGGTATGTTTCTCTTCGATTGTCGCATTCACCAGCAATAATTTCAGACTTGAGCTTGACATTGAGCCTGAAGCGTTGGAATTTGAGGCACAAATTTCATAAACAAGGATTCCATTTGTTGACCGGTCCTGTACAAAAGAAATTAAATGTCTAGAGCTGGTACTGCAGGAAATTTTAGACATGTAGTCATCTTACTGAACTAGTAATATATATTTCAAACTTCTGTAAGACGCTGGCTCTCTATAAAACCCAAAGCATGCTAACTGTGCTCTAAGTCACCACACAGACGTATTACAACAAAATCCAAGCAGAGTGAGAAGGAGACAAGCATCTACCTGAAGGGGTTGAAGTAAGACAATTCACCTAATTCCATCCAGAGTGAAAAGTAGCAATTAGCTAACTCACAAAATTGTAGCAAAGCGTTGTCAGTGAGAAAGAAAGACTTACCTCATTTTACAAATGGCAATCCTGATGGAACTATCTTTTGATACTCCTCGTATTTGGGACCAAAAAACTCCACTAAAAAAAATTCCTCATATCTGTCTCCACGGTTAAAGTCAAGTCGCAATAATGCAGAAATCTACATTTATATGAATCGGCAAGTCAGCAGCCACGTTTACCTGGACGGCTTCGAAATACGGAGATTAAAAGAAAAACAATTTCCGACTCCCAAGTGCTTTCACGATGGAAGTTAACTAACTCTCTGCTGTTTACACTCCGTCAGATACTGCAAAAGTTGGACCTTTGAGATGTTTCATCACCAGACTCAATCAGGCCTATCTTGTTACTGTTTCACACTGTTTTATATCAAAGTTGCAAACCCAATACCTTCCATGTGGTAAGAAACTACAAAATAACGAAGGGCGGATACTCGATGCGATCGTGAAAGAAGCGCCATAAGATAATCATGTATCCAGCTGTTGCGAGAGGATTGCACAGCAAGAGCTGCGTGCCAATTGCAAAGACAAAAAATCCTAAATAGCTTGGATGTCGCATGTATCTGCAGAGGCCAACCAACGACATACGAACACCTGATTAGAATTTGGCTGCAGAGAGACTGACTGCCTTTACAAACTTCAGGTCTGCAACATCTAAAAATAGGTTTCATGACTACTACCGAAGCTTGCGCAGTTCCCTGGACTAGGTAAAGTTCCGTCCATCATCACTTGGAAATCGATGATGAACTTTAAATGGTGGAACAGAGCTTTCAGAGGGGAGGACAGGTTATGAGGGAACAAGATTCAGCACTTTTCGGCAAGATAAGAGACGAACTCGAGGAATTCTTCCTTGCACGGATTCGACATGCTGCGCGGGAAAACACTGGAAGGAATTACAATGGCACCCATCCAAACGATGTATGTGCAACCCAAGTTGCTGAAATAATTCATACCAGGAGCAGAGACTCTTGCCTGTATATTCCATGAGTGACCAGTTGATGATTTTCGTCATAATCGACTTTTATTTCGTGCGTGAAGTTTCGTCGCGCAGTCACGATAGCAAGCTTGCGGATAACCTCACCCACTATCACTAGCGCCAGGCCTAGATATGCAACATATGTCTGCGATTTGTATTCTGGCAGATACATACTCTCCAAATGATGCTCCACCAAGCCGAATGTCAATGCCACCAGATAAGGACCCGTTATTAACAACGCTGAGCATACAAGAACATGATGTCAGGTGATCCCCACTACGCAACCCAGCATCTACTGAACGATGAATAGAAGCAGTCGAGGCCACTGTACGATTCTTCCTCATCGGCAATGTCTGAAGAATGAATAGATGGAGCCAAAATTTGAGAAAATGATTGGATCGAGACTACGATGCAACATGAAATATCTCAAAGGATACTCACACTCAACGCCAGCAGCTCCGTGGTAGTGTAGAGCGAGCATAAATTCCGATACATGGAAAAATAACAGTGACATAACGAAGCACCGCAATCGCCACTCACTGGCTTCCATGATTTCCGTCATTCGCTAATTCCACACATTCAGCTCACTACCTGATCGCGCTGTTCTTCCCAACCCCTCCTGCGCCGGGCTCACCAAGAACTCACATTCCCCGCTCGCTATCGAAAGAAACAGCAGTCTCGCGAAGCAAGAGAGCGCCTCAGATGCATCGAGCGGGGAGACCGCAGAATGGACCGAAATCGAGAGCAAACACGCAATTTTTCCACGATTTGTGCTTCCTTCCTTCTCACAGGAAACGGTACAAATTTCAGCGTCGGAGCGACGCGCATGCCATCCCGAAGCGCGTCGCCGTCGAGGCCACTCTCTGCCGGGCCCCGTCCCTGTCCCTGGGGAAAGTGCACACGTACCGCCAGTGGGTGAAAAGATGGTCGACGCACACATCCACCTCGGGCCGCATTTCTGTCGTATTGATCTCGAGCGCAGGGGCGTCCATGGCGTCTTCTTCAGCTCGTAGAGCTCGGCGCCAGCGAGCGCGGCCACACAGTAATTTCGTCCATGTAATTGATTCGAGTAATTGGTAAATCGGCTCTCTCTCTACCGCGACTGCTATCGTATGCGCGGCCGACGAACCGTATTGACAAGTCGGATGCCCGAATGATGCCCCCTCCCCTCTCCCTCCCCTCTCCCTCCCCGCTCGTCCAATTCGAGCTCGGCCAATTCGCACGATCCACACACACACACATCTGACAGCATCTTTCCTCGCGCAGGCCGGCCACCTGGCACTAGGGCTAACCGCCCGGTCCATTTCCGGCCTCGAATCTGCGCTCGATTCTCCGCGATTCTGTACTCCTTCCGTCGACGCTCATGCCACTTCCAATCTGAAGATTGGAAGTGAAGAAGCAAGTGAAGATTGATCTTCCCTTGCTTGGCCTTCTGAATGTGCCAGATTTGGCCATCCCGAATTGAAGTTTTCTTCTTCAAGGTCCCCTGCTGTTCTGTTTAGGGATGGCACGTAGCCGGCTGGGTCTCAAATTTAGCCGGCTATCGGCCGATAGTGCAATCAACCGAAATATTCGACCGAAATACATGTTTATTGGATAATTTCGGCCGAATCTAAATAAATAATCGGCCGATAACGTAGATTCGGTCCGAGTTTACGGCTCGTTTTCGGTCTCGGATAGAGGTGGCAATATTTATCGGCTAGCCGGGTAACAAAAAATATTAGCCGGCTAGCCGTGAGCCGAGCCGTGTCCATCCCTAGTTCTGTACATTCAGAAGGAGAGTTCTTTCGCCCTCTTCTGCATGTCATGTGTGGATTTCAGAAGGAAAGTCGTTCGATTTGAAACCCGGTAGCTCGATGATCAATGATGATATCGAGCAAGATGTGCTTTCCAGATTAGACAAGACGGTGCCCTTGGCAGTCTACCAAGTTTTGGGAACTCGTCCGTTTGTACATAGAACTTGGAAATGAGCCAATCAATACCATAGATTTCCTGACAATTCAACAACTTCTGCATAAATTGGGCAATTCATTGAATGGATATGAGACTACAGTTTGACTGGGTTAGAATGATTGTGACCACGAGGATCTCTGGATCTCTGTTCAACACAAGGGAGCAACCGTAAATCGTATAAGAGTCTAATAGACCGCACATTTACTTTTTGTTTAGAGCAACCGTGACACTACTTGCTCTCGTCATCACATTTTTTTCCAACTCCTTTGAAGCATCCTCGATGTGGTATCGTTCACACTCATAGAAGATCGAGACAATCACGCTGAAATACAAGGAGTCCTGAAACAATATTCAGATGTCCAAATTTGCCAAGTGTAAAAAAACTGTTCATGTTTCAAGCAATAGCATGAGCTTTCGGTGGGCATTTGGGATTATTCAGGTTTTGTCTCAAAGCTTTTCCAGATATGTTTTGGTGGAACCAAGAGTTAATATAACATCCACCAATTGATTACATGAAAGATTGATTTGGAATCAGGTAGATCCAAAGAAACACTTCCGGAGCTAATTCTAGGTTTGTTCACATGTTTGGACAAAAGTTGGTTTCCGCTAACTCGCCAAATAATCGTTTCAAAAACTCATCATCTTCACCACGTAATCCAATTTGAGGGTAAGGTATTGTTTTTCATGTGATTTGCCCATATGACTTGGTACACACCACATATTATCACAGTCATTAGTCAATTCAGCGCAGGAGTTAGTAGTTCTTCTAAAATTTGCAAGAATCAGAAACTATGACAAGGATTCTACATATCTTCATGATCCTTGAAAATGCATGTAGCAACCCAAGAAGACATGGATCATTCGGTTCCACAATGTCATCTCTACACTGCAAGATCTATGAATTAACCTTTGTTCATCTACGTTTAGCTTTTGTAACCCATGTATTTGCATAGCTTACCGTATGTTATGATTTCTGTGATTTGTACAAACATACTTCGAATATGCATGTAACAGATGAACAAGACATGGATCATCTGGTTACTCAATGTCATCTATGAATGCACATTTTCTATCATCTTCATTTAGTTTATGTAGACAATAACTGTGCGCTGCATTATAAAAATTTTGTTTGATTCATGTGATTTGAGCGAGATTATGACTTTAGATGATCTTGTAATGTGGTCTAGTTAAATTATATACCAACAATTTGCATATACTTGCTTTGGGAGACAATATCTTATTATTGAAATGTAGTGACGGTGTTTTGGAATGATCAAGTGAAGAATCGTGCACCATGTGATCTTCTAAACATTGATAGCATCATAGATGCGAGCAGGCTGGAGATGTTATTATAGACCAAAGAATATATATTTTGTTTTGTTTTGTTTGAAAGTATGTCATATGTCATCTTTGACACCTCCTCTCATTGGAATGTCCAAGTGGACAGTAGAGATGTCTTCAAATCTTGATTGTTTCATAATATGGATTGCGGATAGGCGATATCGATAGGACATTATAGCACCCGAACTTCTGATCATAGTCTCATATAATGTTTTAAAATAGATGACTACCATGTGTTAGAGTACTCTAACTTGTGGCTAGGAAAAAGCAACAACCCCACAATATACTTGAATCAAACATGTAGCATCATACAAATCTAGTACCTATTATGAAGTTAGTGAAAGAATCTTGATGCATAATTACGAAAAGCCGAGGAGCAGCAGAACGGTGGGAAGAACATTGAGGAGAGCTCGTTAGGTATCAATGGTGATAGGATAACTGAGTCTGCTTTGTGCTTTCTCATGAGATTCGAAATAATAATCTTGCTTGCAGGGTTGTTTTTCTATCGCAGTACCGGTAGAGTTGGTGTATCTATTGTAATGTTTGATATGACAGTGATATTTATGTTGTGATGTGATAATGCAAGACAATTATCATGACTTATGTAATGTTCATCTTAATAGATAAATACTCAAATGTGACTTCACTAGATCTGTGGTTTTGGTTGATAGCGCTTTGAGTATACCTCAAAAGGTAGAATTTCAAAAGGTTCAGTTTTTGAAGTTGAGTATTGGAGAATGGGGCTATGGTGAAGAGTAGCTACTGCAATCAACTATAGAATTTGAGTAACAAATGGGTTTGGCTCCACTGTAAAATTGATGAAGATCATATCTCAATGGATGTTTCGACATTAGAAAAAGTCATAACAGATTATTTCTGTTTATGTTTTACTACATCTGAAGTCACATCGGTGTATGATGTGATGGGACATGTATATACTCAACAGTCTCTCTAGGAGAGACGCGATCCATAAATAATGCTTGTCAAAATATCATTCACCGCTGAAGTTCAAACTCGTATTAGCTTTCTTAATACAAGAAGTTCCAACAAGAAGGTTGTTCTTCCCACTTCGTAGACGAAAGCATGAACTGCTTTTGCTTTGTATTGAATATTCTCGAAAAGAAAAACCTGCACATGACTGGTACACGATTGTTGAGTGCACATGGATGCATTGAGAGAACTATAATGATCGATGGATAGGAGAATCGGAAAATTACGTTATAGTATTTTCTGTGTCTCAAAAGACCGAGATTGGATACCATAATAAACCTTCACAGGAGTACGGCACGCAAGGCGACAAACATTCTTAAATTTAAGTTGTGAATTTAATTTTAGATTGTGTGTCCACTTTTTGGACTGGAGTACATACGGTACAGAGGTGGGTACAGAACATGACTTTCATCGCATGGGGAGGAGGGAAAAGGAATAGCAAAAGGTACATGACTGTGATTCCATGTGCAGCTTCACAAGGTGGCATTTACCAGCCTCAAATACTCCCGCATTCTCTATTAGTACATGAGAAGGTTTCTCGCCGAATCCCAAGGCAAAATTGAGCAAGAATGACATATGACGTTCATACTCATGATATGATCACACCCACTCATCTGTTAGATCACAATTACTTTCCTCAGATATTCTTGAAAATCACGTATTAGTGTACTGTTTAATTTTGTAGAACGTGCAGTATGCACGTAGCATTTGTTTTCATTTATGAATGTCGATTGTTTTATAGCTTCAGCTGTTTCTAGCAAGGTAAAAGCTTAATATCCTTCGTGGAGGAGGGACGATGAATGATTCAGGTGGTCAACCGTATATTTTGGATATCTTAGGTGAATATTTGCAATTGTGATCATGTTTAATCGTCTGTCTTAACCCTTTGGTTAGACTTGATGAGTTTTTCCCACATTACTTGGTTCCAACTGGATATGGAAAGAAGCTTATTGACTTTTTAGAATTGCAAAATTTGGTCGACAGTAAACAGTCTGACGTAGCAGACATGGAGAACGTTTACCGAGTGAAGATTGTAAAACAACAACCACAACAGACATGCAACCGTCGTAATTGAGTTTTTTTTGTACGTATGAATGTACAGTACACACATCATGTTTGTCTCCAAAATTCATGATCACACTATTGTGCGGACACACTCTTACCATCCCTCCGCTGTTTCATTGGCTGACGACCTGGAGTAAAGTGACGATGAGTGCACGGTCCTCACCAGTACGGACACCAAGAACGACCTTTTCGAATTTTCAGCATTGTCAAATCCATTGCAGCCTCTGCATCCTCTATGCTGTCATGGCCTTCCGATCCATTCTGAATACTGCGTTTAAGCCATTTGTCGGCCAACATTCGAAGCGCAGGCTTTATCTTCCCGCCATGTCTCGGATGTTGGTATAACAAAGCAGTGTCAATCACTTTCATATGTATGACCTTCAATGCTGCCAAATCGCGTTCCAGTGAATGGCCTACAAGTATGGTTTCTGCAGATACGATTTGGATGAAGTGCTCCTGCATGATGTTGCTAATCAGTATAGTCAACTCATAATTTCAACACAGGTGGATGATCACAAGGAGAACGTTTCAAATTGTGTTGAGCAGGACCTGAATGTCCTTCAGTGTTGTATTTACGTCCCTCAAACGCGCTGCTGTGATACCGCTGTACCTGTTGAAGAAATTCCAAATTACTAGTCTAGTGTGATTTGACACGTAGGGAGGAATCATACAAAGACCGAAAGATCAGCCAGCTCCGGGTCTAAAGAATCGAATAAGCATAGAACAGCAACCAGCACAAGAGGAAACTAACGCATCGACGGGATTTATAAGCACTACGAAGTCAGATTCAAGAAAAAGAGAGTGTGACTTCGAACCGAGTGTTGTAGTTGAGAATTGGATTTGTAGGCATTACAAGACTGTCAATGAGAACCTGCGAATGATTCGACCCACGCGTCAGGAAGACAGAGTTTTGCTGAACAGGGTAATTTCCTGGTATATGGACTGTACCGAAAGATCATCACTGTGCTGAAAATTTAACGGCCAATCAACAAGTATATACCGTTTTGTTCGTATCGACCAGTGAGACCCGTGTGAGCTCCAGACCAGCGGCAGTACGGCACTGCAAGAGTTGCAACTCATTTGAACTCGACGTCACATACAAAAAAAAACTTCAAGCCTGGCAACTTCTAAAAACTATTGCTGCCGTTGTCGTGAAGAGCTCGACACAAATATCAAGATCCCTTCAGATATTCATCCACGAGTGTCCAAGGAGTAAAGCTCTTACCATTTCACAATCCACTGCAACCATCTCCGGGAAACTCCTTCCCAAAGCAGGTTGAGTCATCACAAAGCCTGCAGAGCACAGCCGCCAAGCTCGATCAAAACTCCAACCCCAATTTCAGGCTCTACCTCCATATCAAGCTATATTTCTACGACATCTCAACATCGAATCCTTGCATGAAAGTGGATTCATGTACCTGCAGGCAATTGACTGTTGGTTCCGGGGGAAGTAACAGCGGGCATACGGTAGCCATGCTGCATCATCTCTGACTTGCTAAGAACATAGTATGAAGCCGGAATAGTTGGTGCTGAGAGATCGTTTGGAGCTCTAAGATCTGCAGAAGCGCATATAATACACTTGTTAGCAGGCTGCTGCCAGGGGATGTCGCAACCCGAATTTGGTAGATGTTAAAACCTGTTCTGACAAGGGTCCTTCTCGGTGCCTTTCTTGGTACTGTATGTGAAAGGAACTTGAGTGTTCGGTACTTATATTGGCAGCACGAGGGGTGGATGTTATGGAGCCTAGCCCCTTCTGACATGTCACACCATGCAACAACGTTATATGAAGGTCTCTGATTGGATCGTCCTAGGCGTACAGAACGTAGCTGGGAAGTACAGCCATGCAATGGACCATGTCTACACTGAAGAGCTCGAGACTCCAACACAATTCCACAGCAAAGAACGAGTCAATTTTGTTGAGAAAAAACGCAATCACGTGGCCACCTGCAAGGTGATCGGCCATTATCACCACTGGTCTTCTGGATTTTACTTGATGTTCAGTCCAGCTTCTCTCGAACTTCAAGATAAAAGCTCTCCTTGCAACTCTCGTTCGGTCACTCTGCACTTTTGACTTGGGCCTTTGTTGCTAGTTCACCACGAGGAGTGGACCCTGCTGCTGAATTCAGCTCAACTGGCTACCAACTCACCGCTTTCTCTGTATCCTTTGGCAGCTGAAATGTCATCCAATGCACAGTGAACCAGCTCAGAAACTGGCACTTATATCAAGAACGAGAACTCCACAACGTACACAGAAGATTTGAAAACATTGATGCAACACAGCACCAGTTTAACTGCTGCATTGATCACTTCGATAACAGCAGGTACTATATTAACAAAGTGATCAATGCAACGCACATCGTCCCGATCGAGTGAACTGGGAAATAGAAATTATTTTCAGGAACTATTATTACATCTAAATTACTATATTCTAATTTTTAATATTAAGTCTTAACAAAATTAACAATTTAGTGTAATAAAAACCAATACATATGTGTAATGCTCTTATAATATTTTTTGGGAATAATGACCCTATCATCATAAAAATTGCATACATCGTGCACTTCAAAGCTAATCTAACAATATGAATGCTTAAAGAAACTCTGTTGTAAATCAAAACTCTATTTTGAGAACTATAACTAAAAATATGGATCTTATATTCCATGAGTAGGTGTAAATGTATATTATCATAAAAAAATATCAATGAAAGAAACAAAAAGTGGCAATATTTTTTCATATTAATATTGATATGGAATTGAGCAAATTGGGACATAACATGGGCCGGGCGCTTGCGTTTAGCGCAGAGATAATCCATTCGCCAAGCCGCGCTGGGCGGGGACTCGAAACAAAAGGGGAAAGTCCTTCGGAGCCTTAAGTAGTTGCTTCCTCTCGTAATTCATCACTGGCTTCATTTAATTAGCTCACTAAGAGAGACCGGCATCATCAACAAATCCCGCCATGGCTTTGCCTCCTTTCACAACTGTATCAACAGCAGGTTAGAGTTCAGTATTTTAAGCTGCTCCGACCGAGCGTCGCCTCCGTGTTTCGTCTACGTGTAAACGTAAAGCCATATTGCATATAATAATATCAAAAATCTAAAATATATCCTTCGTTCCATTTGCAGATAAGTAATACAAGTAGAAATCATGAATTTCCTCTCAAAGTATACCTGGCCACGTTCAGAAAACTCCAGTTGAATAGCGAAGTAGTACGTATCGTGAGGGAAAGGTGAAAAGAACCCCCGACTATTGTAATCAATCATAATACGTCCTGCCAGGTGCCGTTTTGCAGAGATATTTATTCCAACTGCCTATCATGGATTTCCACTCACAGTGATCCTTGTTAGGATCACATTTGCCATAAAACTCCAGTTGATCGTCGTACCGAGTGCTAAGTAGGACCGTGAGGGAAAGCATATTGTGTTCCAGCCCTATGGAATGACACATTCCCCAGCCATTTCATAAATCATAATACGTCCCGTCGTGGAGCACTTTTCTTGATGTGATGTGAATAATTAATTACGTAGATTGCGACCCGTACAGGATCCTTATTCCTTACTGGAAAAACGCTTAATAACAGGTAGGGGCAGTGAAGGGAGCTACAAAGGCCTGCTGGGCGTTAGCTCTCGAACCAATAGGATATCATAGCCTCCCCGTGGGCCTCCTAATGTTTTGAGAGAGTATCTCACCACGTGTCTTGCCGCCCTTTTTATTTCCTATAGGCTTTTGGTTCATCATAACCTAAAATGCCTACACAGTTGTTTAAGCAATGACTACCTTCGATTATTCACCACAATACTTTCAATCATCAAATTTTTTGTTAGGAAATTTGCTCATTATCAAACTTGTCAAACATCATATTATCATTCAAAGTAAATTCTTGGAGCTAATAATTATCAGCATAGTTTTTCTTTTAAATTTGAACTCAAAACCTCAATAATCACTCATCTTTATATCAAACTATATCCTAAGCGCTATGTCTCATTATAACATTGTCACACCAACCTAACTTCTAGTGAAATGCAATTTTAGATGCATAATCAATTTTTATATAAACATTATGCAAAGTTAATGACTAAATCTTGACATGAGAGATTTCATGTTTTCTATTCTAGAATAAGATATGTCAAAACTTAAGTATTTGAACACAAGTATTAAAATTTATGTTATAACACCTTACATACATTTGAAGATTTCAGCTTATTTTGTACTTATCTTTTCCATAATGTATTTTTATCACCTATGACTTAAATGACACTTTCAATTCTAGGTTCTCAAATTTTTATGAAAAGCATCCTATTACATCATATCTTTGAAATGCTTCCATGTCTTTGAATGATTAGATAAAATATTTTTTTCATTCATATAAGCTATCTCTTGTCAAAACTATGTCCAACATCGTCATTTCTATTGTTATCAAGGTTGCTATTGTGATAAACATTATTATTGTTCACAAAATTGTAATTAACAACAAATAAAATAAAAGAAACAGCTATGAAAATGTATCTATTGTGCTCAATAAACATAATATATGAAAAATTTCAAATTCCAGATTTATATTGTTTAAATAATTAGATATATATATAAAAGAAAAAAGGAAATTATCATGTAATTATAGACTTATCAAAAACATCATAATCTAATCAATCTATGTCTGTTTTAATACATTATTATTCTAAATATCATGTATATAGAGATAGGCGAATCTTTCAAGTTTATATTGGTTGAACTTGTGTGATGACTAAATCTTATGATTGAAAGTATCATATATATGGTGTAAAAGTTTTAAAAAATGCTCAAATAAATCACATGGATTAGAAGATAGATTGAATATAATTATATTTTCATTTTCAAATTTTTTCATCGATAATTAGTTAAAAAGATAGATATGTGTATTTTACTCCAAGTTGATTTTAATTTTCATTAATAATTATAAATTCCTTTATGCTTTACATAGATATAATATGATACAAATGAAACAATTTGTTATCATAAAAACAATTGAAGATAAATATTTTATCTATGAGAATTTTGATAATATTTTATTACAAACATAGAAATTAAATCAGATATAAAAAATGCCTCAAGAAAACATAAATTTCTATTAAAAAAATCTTAAATAAAGTATTTGGTCATATTTTATTTTTTATTTTTCCTTTTAACATTTTAATAATAATATATATTAAAAAATTCTTGTATTTATGTTTTTTTTGTTCAATTTCAATCAATCATGAATAATCTAATGTTATGGTTTTGTTTAGTTTTTTAATCATGTAAAAAATAAGTTTTTTTGATGTATAATAATTCTACGACGTTAAAATTTTTCTTCAACAGAAGCATTAAAATTTAATTTAATGAAATACTGAGACTAGTTTTGTTATTCCATAGTCAAATATTTGAACAACAATCATTTAATAATGCTCTTAGTGCAGATTTGAATCATCCACACAGTTCACCATGTTGATGAACATCAACAAACTATTTTTTGAAAAGGATTCTGAAGTATAAAGCTATATTAAAAAAATATACTTATATGAGATGTCAAAATATTCACATTAGATTATAAGTATGAAGTAAAAGATAGATCATGTGATCATTGTTCATAAACTTGTACAATGTGCACAATTATAAACTTTATTTTATCTTGCTCAATTTTCAGTATATTTAATCATCACATGTCATTTTAATCATACATAGATAGTTGAAATTGATGTTGTATATATTCAAAGTAAAAAATAATTATAAAAATTGAATTTGGATAGATTTTGGATAAATATAGTATAATAATTTCATGTGATTATAGTATTGTCCATCATCTAATCTACCTCAAAACTTTTAATGAATGTCGATTAGGTCATTGAATTTTTTATGGAATCATTTAATATATGAAATTTTCATCATGTAACTTTAACTTTTATATTTTCATGATCTTTATTTCATTTATTGCTGTGCATTTTTTATTAATTTTCTTCAATGATCAAAAAATTGAAACATGTTTTATGCTAGTGAAAAGAGTTGAATATAACATGAATAATTGTAATGCACAATTTCTTTCAAACAAAATAAAATTTTTATCAATAATAATTGTTGTTCACAGACATTACAGGCTTTGAAAGTTGAGATGCTTTTCATAAGTATGTAGAAAATTTCTGAGTAAAAAAAATTAATATGGTGTACTTGAGTTAGTCAAAATATTTTAATTATGTCATCAATGAAAAAAATAATTTATACTTGCATCATCAAATATTACAAACAAAGTTTCATAAACGAATTGATATTCTTTTAATAATCTTTTGCAATTTTTCATATTGATTTTTTTTAATTTTCAAATTTTTTCTTAATCATTTAAAGATATCAATGAATAGTTTTGTAATATATCAAATCAAAACATGAATCAATATTTGTACAATAGCATGCAATTCAATGTTTGCCAGTTAATTTAAATCTTGTTTGCATAATTTAATGTTTCAAAAAAATAATCCATGTTAGAAATAAATATTTTCATAAATATCATCAAGCTAAGTTTAAAAAAAAGTTATCTTAAGCTTAGTAGAAAATTTTTGTAATAATAATTTCATCCAATTTATTCATACATGCTACACTTCTTATGACATTAATATGTTGTACTTTTATACTTTATCACTTAGGGTTGATAACACTATTTCTAATTTAAAGAAATAATAATTAGCAACAAAATACAAATCTTTGACCAAAGAAATCTTGAAATCACTATTATTACATATTTTCATCAAATTCTATGAGGTTGAAATCTCAATTTAAGAATCGAACTTATATTTTTATTGGTATTGTCAACAAATATGTGCTCAATATTCACAAAACACATGAACTTTAATGGTAAAAATTTACTTTAATGCTTCAAGAAGACTTATGTTGTTACATTTGATGATCAAATGTAGTATATTATTTTAGGCTGTTCACAAGAGTTTTATAATATAAAGTATTAAGATTTGTTGAGGTTAACTCCAGTTAAGGAGTAACCTCGGATTCTAGCTATTTATAGCTAAGACGGTCGCCTGGATTGGGGATAAATATATTGAAGTTCTCCTTGTATTGGATGACGTCTTTCTCAAGAGACTTGGAGTAAAGTGCTTAGAGTTATGAATGGACGTAGCCCTCCTCCCCAAGGGTGAACTACATTACATCTGTCTATCATGAGTGTTTAATGTTTTCTTGGTTTTTCCGTTAACAAATGATATCAGAGCGCGAGAGCATGATGCGATTCTAAGCTATTGACCTGAACTTTGATCTGGCGGTGACGAGTCAAAGTAAGCCATCTTCCCCAAGGGTGAACTACGTTACATCTGTCTATCATGAGTGTTTAATGTTTTCTCGGTTTTTCCGTTAACAAATGATATTGGAGCGCGGGAGCATGATGCGATTCTGAGCGATTGGCCTGATCTTTGATATGGCGGTGACGCGTCAAAGCAAGCGTCGCAAAATCAAAGTCGGCTTGCTGGAAATGATCAAGAATCACATGCACAGCCATTAAGAATTCGCGAGCAGAAGAAGTATTGCATCGGATGGATAACAAGGTTGAACGGATCCGGCAAGAGCACCGTGACGTGTGCGATGAATTAGATTTTGAGTCTTATGGCGAAGTTATGTGATGGACGGCAACAAGATCCGCGAGGTCCCCTCTAGAGATTTGGGATTTTTTGGCTAGAGATCAATGGGAACATCCGCAAGATCGAGGATATATGAGGAGCGCAACGTGAAAGGCTTGTACAAACTCGCGCGGTAGGGAGTGATCAAAGCTTTAATCAAGATTGATGACTTGTATGAGAAGCTTGTGAATCTTGAAGTTGTGATCAAAACTGTTCGCTGAAGTCGTCGGGGCTAGGCGTGTCTAGCAAGCGATCAAATGGAAGTAGCATCACAACAATTGCTGAAGTCCCAAACAAAATTAGAATCACGAGGCGGCCTTCTGTAGAGCTACATGTCATCGATTCAAACTTGCGCGGTGACGCGAACTGGGGTGGAGGCTTGGACAATTGCAGGGCCGACGGCGAGCATCCGAGAGCAGCCAGGCCTCATCGATCCGCGGAGGAGCTGTCAACCTCAAAGTAGATGGCACGGGCGCAAGCGGTCTGTCCATTCCTCCCTTTGCTCACTTCCGCGCTGCAAGGACGGCCGTGGTTATGGTCCGTTCCCCCTCCACTTCAGTGCAGCAAGGCGGACGGCCTTATCAAAGGAGTAGTTCAGTAAGAGCTGATAGCAAGTGGGCAAGGCCGAGGCTAAGCGACATTCCATAGATGAGCCGCTAAGAACAAGCAAACGGCGAGATAGGTACAAGTGCGAGTGGCGACGTAGTCGAGTCCAACGCGTTTGTGGTCCATTTAATAAGACGAACGTAGTCAGCTAGATCAACCACGATCGGTAGAGAAAACTGTGTAGGCAGAGCAATCTCGGTCGGCAGGTCGGACTTGGTCAAAGATGGACCATGATCTGAGCTTAAACGTGGTTAGAGATCGAACGTGATCGTTGTCAATGTGGTCAATGAGAACGTGGTCAGAGTACACGTGGTTATGGTCGCAGTCACGATCACTGTCGCGGTCGAAGCTCAACGTGGTTGAAGTCGTGGTTGTGGATCTAACGTAGTCGGCAGATCAACAATGCTCGGTAGGGCAACGCAGTCAACTGTAGACCGATGGTGACAGTGACGGCGGAGCCTGACAATGATGGCCAAGATCAACGTTAACGGTTGGGAACGTTGATGACAGAATATTTTGGTGTAAATATTCCATCTGCAAGAATATTCATCAGAATATAGATGAATTGGATATCGTTGGAAAATTGTCAACACAACAAAAACATGTGGATCATTTTTTAGAAGCTAAAATATGACTCAAATGGAAAAAATTTCCTTAGAAGTTAATTTTCTATCTATATATTTGACCTACAACGTTTGTTGCGAGCGCTGGATAGTTGTGGGTGACGGTAAGTTGCGGGCAACGTTTGTTGCGGACGTCAATGAGTTGTGAACAAAGGTCGCGAGAGAAAATGTTTCAGTTGCAGGCGACATAGTCGCGGGTAATAAGTAGTTGCGGGCGACGCTGGTCATGAGCGACATGAGTCGCGGGTGACAGATGATAAGTTGTGAGGCAACGTTTTTAATTAGTCGAGGGCGATGGTGAGTGATAGTCACTAGCAACAGTCTGTCATGAGCAACATAGATTGTAAGCTTCATGTAAGTGGGTGTGTGTCTTTCAATAAGTCTTATTCATTGAAAAAATGGGAGAATTCTGAGGATCTTTGTACCGAGAAGTGAGAATTTTTTGTTCATGAATATAGTTGTGGGGGAGTTTTGATCATTATGTGATTAATGATCAAGATGAGCATCGGTATGTAGTTGTGGGTATGTATGATCATTGTGTGATAAATGATCAAGATATGCATGATATAAGTTAATTACACTACCGTGAAGCACAAAGATTTCAGGTATTTTATCAAACAAGAGTGTCCTATAAAATGATTGAGTTAGTCAAGATGGATGACAGACACTAATAATTGAGCTAGTCAATATTGACGGTAGACTTTGGTGATTGAGGTAGTCAATCTTGACAGTAAACTTTGATGATTGAGCCAGTCAAGATTGATGACAGACACTAATAATTGAACTAGTCAATATTGACGGTAAACTCTAATGATTGAGCTAGTCAATATTGACGATAAACTCTGATGATTGAGGTAGTTGATCTTGACGGTAAAATCTGATTATTGAGCTAGTTAGGATAGACGATAAATTTAATCCAGCTGATACATTGGTCAAAATTATTTCTTTGAAGAGTTTCATGCGACACTGTGCTATCATGGAGGTCGTGTACATGAGGAGTAGAGTTAGAGTTGGCTAACATATTATCTTTTGTTATCTCTTTATATATTTACTCTATCATCTGATGGCTACAATTTAGTTTTAGTTAACTCTTGTATAAAAAGATGCATTGTATTAGGTTTTTTTCTAGAACTTTCCGCGGAGTAATTATATAGTTTATGAGATTTTTGTTCAATCTATGCTAGCTAGTTTTTAGTTACCTCTTTATGTTATTATTCTATCATGTTATGGCTACGGTTTAGTTCTAGTTAACTCTTGTGTAAAGAGTAGCATTATATTAGGTTTTTTTCTAGAACATCCGCAGAGTAATTATATAGGTTACGAGATTTCTGGTCTTTCTATGCTAGCTAGTTTTTAGTTACCTCTTTATGTTATTATTCTATCATGTTATGGCTACGGTTTATCTCTGGTTAACTCTTGTGTAAAGAAGGGCATTGTATTAGGTTTTTTTCTAGAACTTTCTGCGGAGTAGTTAGATAGGTTATGAGATTTCTATTCTTTCTATGCTAGCTGGTTTTTAATTACCTCTTTATGTTATTATTCTATCATGTTATGACTACGGCTTAGTTTGAGTTAACTCTTGTGTAAAGAATTATCTTGTATTAGATTTTGTTCTAGAACTTTCTGCGGAGTAGTTAGATAGGTTATGAGATTTCTGTTCTTTCTATGCTAGCTAGTTTTTAGTTAACTCTTTATGTTATTATTCTATTGTGTTATGGCTATGGCTTAATTCTAGTTAACTCTTGTGTAAAGAGTTGCGTTGTATTAGATTTTTTTCTAGAACTTTCCGTGGAATAATTATATAGGTTATGAGATTTCTGTTCTTTCTATGCTAGCTCGTTTTTTGGTTACCTCTTTATGTTATTATTCTATCATGTTATGGCTACGGCCTAGTTGTAGTTAACTCTTGTGGAAAGAGTGATCTTATGTTAGGTTTTTGTCTAAAACTTCATGCAGAATATTAATGTAGGATATAGAGGTTACTGTTACTTATCGTGAGTCAAGAGGGAGATTGTTGAGGTTAACTACTATTAAGGAGTAACCTCAGGTCCTAGCTATTTAAAGCTAAGATTGTCGCATGGTTAATACCCCGAAGTTCTCCTTGTATTGGACGACGTATTTTTGACAAGACTTGGAGTAAAGTGCTGAGAGTTATGGGTGGACATAGCTCTACTCCTTGAGGGTGAACCACGTTACATTTGTCTGTAATGAGTGTTTAATGTTTTTCTCGGTTTTGATTTTAACAAAATTCTCTTCAATGCAAAATTTTCTATCTAAAAAAAATTGTTTCGGTAATTGTTGTGAAATATCTTACATCATGTTATAATTGATTGACTCTTAGTTTTTTGATCTAAATTTCAAAAGTTTTGAATTTGTGACTATCAATCACATAATTTTTTAACAAGCACAGGAAACTAAAATTATATATCTCTAACCTGACAATGTTTTGAATAAGAAAACTATCATTTAATAATATTATTTTAAGCCATTTCAATATTATGTATAGAATTGTATACTTCCAACACTTTCATTTATTTTTTTTTCTTAATTTTACTAAGAAAATAAAAGGTAACAAAGACTAAAAGCACCTATACAAATTGTCAATTTCGAACAACTTATTTGCCCCTGAAATTTTTTCATGCTAATTTGAAAACTTAAGAAATAAAACAGAGAAACTTCAAGCAATAATACCCAACTTAGATTATACTCCAAGCACAGGGCTTTCATTATATCACTCCAGAAATAATCTACATCAACTAGATAATATATACCATCATACAAAACTTGCCACAAATACATTAGGCGTCTCATTCCATTCAAAATGTTAGAACATATTTGTTTAGAACATACACACTTACTTTGCATTCCATAAAATGAAAATCTCTAGGCAAAGCAAGCCAAATCTACCATTGAAAAACAGGAGGCTAAAACATGAACTACTCTCTACTATACTGCTATTTTCAGAGTGAACATTCTACAATCCATCATGATTGTTGTGCACAATGTAGCGAACAGGGGATGTTGTACAAATTTCTTCAGGGACAACAGACCTTCTTATTCTCGGTGGCTAAATCCTCTACTACACTTAATAATTATTTTAATAATAATAATTATTTTAATTTGTAATAGCTTCAAGTTGTAAACACTGACGCGAACCATGATAGCAGAGAATGAATGAATTCAGCAGATTACAATTAGCCGTCAAGGTACACCGGCCACCGTCCGAGTAGACTGCGACGATCGGTAACTGGTCTCTGTTACGTGTACGAGTCACCGGCCGGTGACCGGTTGCCGAAGTCGATTGCGCCGCGGAACTCCAACTTGTGGACGAGCAAGTTCTCCAGAGGCGAGGGAATTGAGCTTTTGGAATGCTTGAGGGACATTGGCACATGGAGATTTGGTGGCTTTGAAGACGAGGATTTGGCCAGTTTGCTCAGCACTGAGAGGTATGTATATATTTTCTCGAGAGGTTTGGGCGTGGACTGACGAGAAGATGGCCACTGATTCGAGGATTGTAGTCACTTTTGAATATTCCCAGTACTTCGATTTCGAAAGTGATTCTTTGGAGATTCTTAGATCACGAGACTATTTGGAGCAGGTTTTGTTTCTGAAGCAACGATGGAATGGCAAAGCTTTATGAACACAAGTTTAGGGCTTCGGCGCCGATTCTGGTGCTTGACATGTATGAACGCTGTCTCGGCAGAATTGATGAATACCATATCGTTCTGTTCCTCTTATGATCTGAACAGGAATTTTATTTGGAATCGGTAAGCTGTATATCGAGGCAACGTCTAGAAGCCAAGCAGATATCAACTGACAATCGACTTTGAATGACATCCAGTGTCAGTGTATTTGAGAATTGTGACAACGAGCAGCGTGACGGTGCTCAGATCTGGTCCAGTGAAATAAGAGTATTGTTATTAGGTTGGAGTGCTCAGTTTTGGTCATGATCAGTATTTGCCGATCGTGAAGCTTTCTGCCAAAAGGGAATGCTGCAGTCTTCTCAGAGGCGAATGGCAAAGAAGAAGAAGCAGCTGGTGGCTGCAGGGAAAGGGACCGAAAAGGATTATTATGATGTGTATGGAAGCGATGTAGGTTATCACAGTTTCTCTGCAGATGTTATTATCGGAAGCAATGTAGCAATTTCGCCCGAATTCGTGCATGAACATTGTTATTTTTTCAGACTCTTGTAGATTATCCACCGTAAGCTAGTGCAAACATATTAAGCTTGGTACTTCAGATTCCTTTTCCTTCAATGCTTCGGGATCCTAGTAAATAACTTGATGTAAAATTAACATGATGCGCCGCAGGTGCTTATAGTAAATTTTACAAGTGTTTATAATTGAAAATTGTCGCGCAAGCATTACGGGTCGATAGAGCTTTCCATTAATATTTCTTCCAGTAAGTTTGTATTGATTTCAGTCTTCAACTAGGTGCTTGCTGTGTGTGTGTGTAATCGCGTATTCATTCACAACGAAACGAAGAATGAATTATGTGACTTTCTTACTTCCAATATTTCTTTGTCATGAAGGCAAAGCCTGAGGTGCAGTGGAAATTGCCTGAGAAGTGTCCAAGGTTAGATCTACAGGTAACTGTCTCTCAGTTCACTCTTTACTTGAAGGAATACGGACTTTGTGATTTTGCATTCAGAGTCGTAACTTTGAAGTCTTAGTTTCAGTAGAGAACTGCTGAATACCTATATTTCGGATGGGGAATGAAGCTGTTGTAACTCTTTGTGACATTTTTTTTTTCTCGTTTATCCACATTAGCATGCCTTGTTTCGGTTTTCCACTTTGCACGATGGAAGCATACAATGTTTCCACTATCATGTGGTTCATATTGGGTTGCTCTCGTCTGCAGGATTTTCAGGATCTCGTCTTATGGATGCTTGGCGAGGGTAAGAACCCTAGCTGGATCTTCATAAAGGTAAAAAGTGGGCATCCTATCAAGTAGCATTAACGTGTTTTAAGGTAGTCAACTGTCTTGATTTGATACCTCAATATGTTTCTCTTTCGCGATCGATTAGAAGCTAACAGCATTCGTATTCACCAGTTTTTTGTTCTGCGCTTTTGCTATGGATCAGAACAAGCCTCTCGTCTCGAAGGTGGTGTTGCTATTTATCCCCGGATTGGATGCTGCACTATTTATGTCACATCTATCATTGCTTCGCAACCTCAAGATGTTATGCGGAACCCCTCAAGCTGTTATGGCCCTTAGGTTAGTATGGTAACCACAGAAAGTTGGTCACTTCACTGTTATGCACTCTCATGTAGGAGTTTCTTTCTAGTATGGCTCCTATCTTGATCTGACCATGCATAAAAAAAAAACGTTTTCAGCCCGACCACAAATCCAGCTTCTACTATAGGAGCACTTCTTACCTGTCCCCGTCGAAAACGGAAAGATGTGAGTTGCATTGATCACTCTGTAGACAGCAGGTACATTGTACTATATAGGAACTGGTAGTTTGTTGCAGCAACGTTTCCTGTTATTTAGCGTAGGTTGTTGAATCTTCCTTTCTGGATAAATGCCAATTTCTGAGCTGAAGCCTTGTGCATTGCATGGCATTTCAGCTGCCAAATGATACCGACAAGGCGGTGAAGGTAGCTAGAACTAGCACAAAGAAAGGTCCTAATCAACAGAGCAGAGTGATCCAAAAAGAGTTGCAAGAGGAGCTTTCATCTTTAGGTTCGATCGAAGATGGTATTAAGACCCAAAAGGAGCCCACAGAGGGCAGCAGTGGTGATGATGCAGATGATATAGTGGCTAATGAGCATTCAGGTGATCACGCGATTGCTTGTCTTCAAATACTCTTCGTTCCTTCCTGTGTTTCTCGCGGAATTTTCTTGGATTTTGGAACCCTTTAGTGTCGTTTTGCTCTATTTCATGACGGTACTCTCCGATTCTATTCCTACAGGGTTGCAGTAAGAGGCTATGATGTAACTCATGGTGGAAACGCATCGTTTATGAAGTGCTCATTATTTTTTGGACGGAGAGAGTATGCTTGTGTCTGCTTTTCATGAATAGCACACCATTAGTGCCTGAAATGTAAGTTCTTCTTTTCAAGAGAGGTTTTAACATCTGCAAAATGGGAGTCACACCACTCTCCTGGAAGCTGTCTGCTAACAATTGTTTTATATGCGCTTCTGCAGATCTTAGAGCTCCAAACGATGTCTCAGCCCCAGCTTTTCCGGCATCATACTATGTTCTTAGCAAGACAGAGATGAAGGAGCATGGCTACCCTATGCCCGATGTTACTTCCCCCGGATCCAACAGTGAATTGCCTGAAGGTACATGAATTTTCTGAAGGTACATGAATTCACTTTCATGCTAGGATATGATGTTGAGATGCCGTAGAGATATAGCTTGTACGTGTCACAAATGATTTGGAGGTAGAGCCTGAAATTGGGGTTGGAGTTTTGATCAAGCTTGGCTGCTGTGCTCTGCAGGCTACGTGATGACTCAACCTGCTTCAGGCAAGAAGTATCCAGAGATGGTTGCAGTTGATTGTGAAATGGTAAGAGCTTTACTCCTTGGACACTTCATGAATAATTTGAAATGATAATTTGAAGTGATAATTTGAAGGGTTCTTGATATTTGTGTCGAGTTCTTCGAGACAACAACCGCCATTGTTATTAGAAGTTGCCAAGCTTTAAGTTTTCTTGTCCGTGACCTCGAGTTCACATGAGATACAACTCTTGCAGTGCTATACTGCCGTTGGTCTGGAGCTCACACGGGTATCACTGGTCGATTCGAAGAAAAAGGTATCAACTTGTTGGTTGTCCGTTTGATTTTCAGCACAGTGATGATCATTTGGTACAGTCCATATACCAGGAAATTACCCTGTTTAGCAAAACTCTGTCTCCCTTACTCGTGTTTCGTATCATTGGCAGGTTCTCCTTGACAGTCTTGTAATGCCTACAAATCCTATTCTTAACTACAACACTCGGTACGAACTCATTTCTTTCTATGCATCTTGAATCTGACTTTGTAGTGCTGATAAGTCCCGTCAATGCGTTAGTTTCCTCTTGTGCTGGTTGCTGTTATATGCTTATTCGATTCTTTAGACCCGTAGCTGGCTGGTTTTTCGGTCTTTGTATATCTCCTCCAGACGTGTCAAATCACACTGGACTAATTTGGAATATCTTCAACAGGTACAGTGGTATCACAGCAGCGCTCATGAAGAACGTAAAAACGACACTGAAAGACATTCAGGTCTTTCTCATAAGCCTTTGTAGTCTTACATATCGGTGTCCTTGAAGATCACAATCTGAGGATTGGATGCACTCATCTAGTTTCTCTTTGTGGTCATCCACCTGGTAGGAAATTTGGAGTTGCCTATACTAATTAGTAACATTATGCAGGAGCAATTCATCAAAACCGTACCAGCAGAAACCATACTTGTAGGTCATTCACTGGAATGCGATTTGGCAGCTTTGAAGATCATTCATATGAAAGTGATTGATACTGCCTTGTTATACCAACATCCAAAGCATAATGGAAATTTCAAGCCCGCTCTTCGAATGTTGGCCCACAGATGGCTCCAACGCAGAATTCAGGATGGATCAGAAGGCCATGACAGCATAGAGGATGCACAGGCTGCAATGGATTTGACACTGTTAAAAGTTCGGGATGGTGAGTCTCATGTTGCACTCTGGAAGAGAACCGTGCAGTAAAGGTTGATTGCACGCAAACAAAAATACCAAGGTCTTTTGTTGTGTTTGGGAAGAATTACTTTTAGTAGTATATGAACATGGTTGTTCAGTTTGCAAGAGTCTGAAGCAGCCGGAGGGAGGTTGAGATGGGAATCAAACCGTGAAGAACAATTACGAGGAAATGTAGGAATTTCGTAGCAAACATGGCTTTTATGCGCTTTTCGAGTTTGTGGGATCATAGTAACTCGTCATAACAGTGGAACCACCTTCTGCAGGTCCTTCTTCTGGGTACGCATGGAACGGCGCAGCTCAAAATCGGAAAAGTCTGATTGCTGTTCTCGATGAGCATGGACGGAGATGCTCGTTAGTGGATAGGAGGTCTGTGCTGCATCAGCATGCTACTGGAAGCGCCCATGCCGTTGTGTGCTCTAATGATGAAGAAGTCCAGACCAAGGCTTCAGCAGAGGTACTTTCCGACGCTTCTTGAAGTTGCTTGCTGTCTTTCAAGATCCTGACGAGGGAGTGATGGAGCTGAGCAGGTTGCGAACCTTTCTACGGTTGTTTCCTCTGATTTCCCACATTGTCAACCAGTTCACCCTACACCTTGTTCTGACTGATAGAGAAGAGATTAATTCAAACCTGCTGCGACAGAGAATGTTTAACTCATGATCGCCCTTTAAAACAGTGGCGATAGTTCGTGTCGAGTGATGCTTGACTACTGCATCCCCAAGTGAATCATTTTGACATTTATTATTCTGTTCCAGGTCAACAAGCCAGAAGTGGACTTTGTCTGGACTCAATTGGCTGATGTGAACACTTATCTCGACCGACGCGCTCAGAACCCTGAGCAGAATGCTGCTCTTGTTGCTGAAGTTGCCGCTCTGAAAACTTGTAATGAAGATGATCCGGACTCGCTGATTGACCTACCAATCTCAAGAGAGTTCGAATTGATTCTTGCCAAGACGGATGAGAGAGTGAAGGCTTTGTACGATGCTCTGCCGGTGAATGCCATGCTCTTGGTTGTAACAGGTCACGGAGACACTGCTTGTTTAAGGAGGTACGGGTCTCAGTCCCTTTGTTAGCCCTTCAAGATCACAATATTGGCTTGACAGAGATTAGTGTTCCCGGTCGCACCAGCAATAACGGACTGTTTTGTTGTGGTTGTAAGTAGGTTACAGGCGGGGATCAGAAACATGAGATTGAAGCCAGATGCTCTATCGCAATCTTGGATGGAATCATCCGACTCAGTTTACGAAGAACTAAGGAGTCGAGCGGAGACGGCCCTGGGCTTTGTAACTATCAAACAAGCGACTCCGGAGGAGTGTAAGATGGAAGTGTAGAAGGAAGAAAGTTGGAATAGCGCATTCGTACCTACTTCTGCTGTGGGTTGTCATAACCATCACATTCTTTCACGGCCTGCGAGGAATTTCTCGTTGACGGGCAGGTTGACCTCATTTATTAATGGATGGAAAGCTAACAACCATCTTTTTTTCTTCTGAGAAATTTTCCCGTTTTGCATGTTGTGAGCTTGTTTCTGGTTTCTGATGGCTTTGTGACATAACTCTTGCTGTTTGACACGATGCCACTGTATGGACGCATCCAGATCATTGCCCTTGTCTGTGATGTCTACGACGTATCTCAGCCGACGTCCCGTATGTACCTTATTATCTGCAGAAATTCACTTTTTTTTCATCCTCATCTCCTATCCCGTTTTAGAAGTTGTGCAGGCACTTGAAGGATCATGTGAGCCCAAGAGTCCTTGAAGGCTGTTCCTAAGCTATTTCTTCTCGCTAAGTCGTGGCTGTAGCAGTAGATTTCAGTCATATCGTCCGTCAATATCATCTGCGGTCGAAGAGTTGTCCACAACTGACAGATGCTTCTGTCAGTTGTGCAGTGTAGAGAATCTCGATGCGAGGGAGCTTGACAGTGTTGACTACAATTATGGAGCACAATAAAGTCAGAATACAGTAATTGGCAACGGATGGTAGATATTGAATCGGCTATGCACAGATAAGGTCCTGTCTCACAGTGGTCCATTTTTCACCTTGTTTGATTTAATCTGATGCCGGGAGTATGCTGCGCTGGTACGTAGGAGGTTGCCCAGCTGTCAAACCGAGTTTGAGTAAAGAGGAAAATATGTATATGCAAAGTCCTGCATGTTTAACACCGAACACCAAGGCAGCTCCCAGAGCTGCTACCAAACCTCTTCAGTCCCCGCCGCGAGCTATGCATCGACGGAGAAGGGGGGAAAATCTAAGTTCTGTGTAGAAAAGACATGTTGACCCTCGGTCTGACCTCTTTTATCAACAGGTGGCAGACGTGCAGAACTGCATGTTGAATCTAAGTTTGCAGGTCCAAAACCGTTGAGCTTTCCTCGACAGGGTTTTCTGAGGGACCATAACAAATGTATTTTTTATAAGGATTCCGGAATCTGGTCATCGTCATCGTACAAGGCTTTGCTTTTAGTTGAGCTTCCAAATTTGCAGTTGGGCTTACTAATAGAAGTCACGGCCTGCAACAAGACAGGCTCTAATCGTGTGTTGCTCGACGCTATCGACTATCTCAAGAATTTGAGTAGTTACGGGAGATGAACCATCGTGGACTCTTGTGTGGTAGTCGTCTATGACGAGAGCAATGAAGCTTTTGAGTGGTGTGGGCAATTTTCGATGTGCACTTTCAGTGAACCCAACCCTTCGCGAAGAGCGCACGCCGTATACGTATATGCGTACTCAGTTAAAAGTCAGGTCACTACAAGTACGCAGAAAGACGTAAGAAGACGAAATACACAACACTTTTTCAGAAGTTTCCTAAAGTTTGACAAGACTCCGTAAACCGAAGACACTAGAGTTCTTGAGTCGCGTAGTCTCGAACGATTTTCCAACCCCAAGGGCGAACCATGAGCTTTCTTCATTAAAGCCTCTGTCACCGCATAATGTAGCAAAGCCTGTTATTATTGTTAAAGAGGCTTGCCTGCAAGAGAGCGAGCGTGAGAAGAAGCTCGGTTGATGCAGCGACACATCTTCAAGACTCGACGTTCCAAAGGTGCTCCACAGGGAAACTCTCCTTTTAAATGTTTAAAACAATAGCATAGGTGTGAAATCATTTACCGTGAATGCACGTGATGCAGTGCTATGTCTCGGATACTTTCATCAATTGTTTGTAGATTGTCTGATCTTGATATTTTGTCGACCTAATACTTGTTTTTCTTTTGGTGTTGGGCTTGATGGGTCTTCCCATCGTTGTTTATATACATGAGGCCACCCACTAATCTGGAAAGCAGTAGAGAAGTCTACACCATCATTGATAGTCCCCGTATTGAAGAGAAATACTACATTCTACGAATCCTCAACTTTCAGGAAACGACTGCTGCATTAGATGGAAACAAGTGCTTGTGAGATGCATCAGTCTTGTTTTCGATGGGCCAGTCCTGTCGAGGAAACTGAAGAGACACTCGATGCAGATGGAGAACAATTCTTGTATTCATGATAATCGTTCAGGAATCTCATGTAGACGTACTCTCAGTGAAAGTAAATGGAAAACGTATCTTCCCGATGGAAAAAATCGCAACTAGTGCAGCAGCACCGTCGTGCCCAAAGAAAAATCGCATGCTCTAAGCTTCGACGTTTCGATGAAGAGTCTGAATCTCTCAAAAAGTGTCGAGGTGAAAGATCGGAAAGATCTTCTAACCGCAGCAATGAGACGACAAGGTTCTGGGGGGAAGGTCCAGCCAATGTCAGAGACGAAAGAAAGACTGCGCCATGCCAGCCTCATGCAAAGGGTTCAAGACAGTTGGAGGTCGGAACTCCTGCTCACTTGCACGATCCTAGGTCTTCCCTGTCGGAGCTACTTCAATGGAGAAACCTCTACTCAGAAGATTGTCTGTTAGGGAGTCTAACACTCATCGCAAAGTGTCAGCACTCCCATCCGCCCCCAGGAGCTTAGATCTCATTTGCGTGGCCTGACAGAGGTCGAGAGGCAAGCCAGGTATCCAGCGAAGTGCAAGGCGAACTTAGGAATGGAGCTTAGGAATGGGGCTCGTATCCAGTTCACAGCAGTCAGTGGAACACAGAGAGATGCTCCATGGTGAGAACAAAGAAACAGGACTGAGATATCGAAGCGAAAACTCTGAGCAGGGAAATGGATTGGACGATGCCATTGCGTCGATGAGTTTTCTACGCTGAGAGAATACTTCCAGTAACATCGGAGCCATGCCGACTGTTTTCTCCATACACACCGGATTTACAGACAGGTTCGTCAGATGTGCTTGTCCTGGTGACGAGAGTTGTACAAGACTTAGCACCATGGTGACAGGGTTTTGTTTTGTGGATGGTACGTTCTTCAAGGTGATGATTCACTCGACAAGAATTCGGCCCAAAGTCTGGACAAGCAGAGCAAGTATCTGGGAGGAAGTAAGAAGCAGGACTCATGATGAGATCTACAGGTCGGGCCTCAGGGCTGAAAGCAGAAATATCTGCGGTTAAATATAATAGAAGGATGCGCACATGCTCGCACAGAGCATGTGAAGCTACACCGTCTTGCTTGCCGCATCAGAACGAAAATGTCCCAGCAAGATCTGTTTTCTACGAGGCGTCTGAAGTGTTTCGAGCCTCGAGAGGAAGAGGCGGAGAGCGGAGCTCCGGTGGTAAGTGTTCTCGAATCGATTCCGGCAAGAGCCGTAGCGACTCATTGCACTCTTTCCTTGCCGGTTCGTCAGATTCTGTCAGGGCAGTCCATGTTCCCGGGCTCATCCTCTGTCCCGTTCTGAAACTCGTAATCTCTCTCTCTCTCTGTATGTGTCTCTGATGCTGTAGAGTACAAAGACGAGCAGATCAAGAGACGCAAATGAAGAACCATCAGTAGATTCTGCCGAACCATCTCTGAACCATCGAGCTCTTTGCACGGTACGTGTCGAAATCCGAAGTCTGCTGGCTCTCTCTCTCGCTTGTGTCTAGCTAAGCGGAACCATGGTGTCTGGTTCGTGAGTCGTGCCTGGCGTTTGCCTGCCGCTGATGTGCGATGCTGAAGCTCTGTGCTGGGGCGAAAGTGGTGCGGATTTCGAGTGATCTTGAAGCTTATCCTTGACGTGAAGCGGAAGTCTGTTCAGCCGACCAGACAAAGAATCTGTTACAGAAGGTCAACCAGTGGAGGCAACTGCGTCGAGTCGTGCATCTGCGCACCCACGCACACCCGAGGTCATCTGGGGGTGGCAGTCTCGACATGTCGGAATTTGTCTTTGAAATGCAATGTCCATGTGAGCGCTCTGACCTGTTAGGCCACCGCACAGTGGCAGGCAGCACTGGTCGCAGATCCTCTCGTCACCTTTTTACTCATTTTCTTATTCATGTCCCAAATGATGAGGATTGATCCGAATGATAGATTCATCCCGATGCAAAGAGCATGTCGCCTCCTCTCCTAGGGCCCATCGCCTCTGCAGATGCTCCATCCATCCCCCAAGTACAGCATACGAGACTCTCTGTGTCCTACTCGATGATGCTCGCCATTACTTGTAATTGTGATTGTCACCAGCGTGTCATTCGAGATGTTTTCTCGGGCCAGTTTCCTTTCCGGCATGTCATCCGCAGCTCAAGCAAGCATCGTCACACTTTCTCCAGTATGCCGTCGATCTTGCAGACGTATTCTGCGGCATTTGCTTCTGCACTAAAGTAGACAGCTGATGTACGCACACGGGCCCCAAATCTGCAGAGACTGAGTAGTTTGCAGTCCAGTATGCCACACATGCCAGACGACTACGTAGAGCCAGAATTTCACGAAATTAAATACGTCCATTGACTTGTGGAGCTCGAAGAGTTCGACGGCTCGCATCGAATCGAGTCCAAGAATCAGTCCCTGCTTATTTTCGGATTGCTCCATGCAAACCACGAGAGCTTACGAGGAGTCCCAATGAGGCTGGAGGAATGAATCTACACGAGACCACAATAGTCGTCCCATTCATTGACAAGGGAAGACCTTCGAAACTGCACATCGAGTGGCGATAATAAATTTATCTCAGTCATAACTATTTACAGGATTATGTGGAAATTATGATGAGGAATAATGCCTGAAGTGATAGGAGATGCGTATATCGATCGGGCTGCCATTCGAAGTTTGATCCGAACCCATGAAAAGATGGTGGATGTACTGTATATGGAAGTCACCTCAAGAGTCTATCCTCAACTCTCACGGGAGAACTATATTATGCGACATGACATACTTCATTCGGCCCAATGAAAGGAAATCGACATGAGTTGATGAATTCTCGTTCATAAAAGTCACAATTCTCACCGTATGACATGCTCACTGAAATGCTCATTTAGCAAGAAGCTTCTACTTGTTCAGAATGATACAACGAGGACATAAATTGACGACTGTGCTTTGACCCCGGTCGAAAGCAAGGTAGGAAAAATTTTTAATTTAATCACTTACACAGCTGATTGATTTACCGACTCTACTAGAAAATGGCATATTGATCGGATTTTGATCTTCGATGCAAATTTTAATTATCGTCCACTTGACAAATTCAATGTCGTATGCACAAATGCGGGCGGATGAAAAATGTTCCTGCCTTCAAAGACCATCAAAGTCTGGATTGATAAGATCCAGGACCTCAGCGGCTGCACATGAATCCGCCACATTGAGAGAATAGGTCGACGGGCAGGTCGTTAGGAGGTTTGGACGCAAATCTGGTTTAGGCTTCGGAGAATGTGTACGAGCTTTAATGCGGAATATTGAATGCGCATGATAATTAATTCGCCTCGTGAACGGCGAAATCGGTCGTCGCGTACAAAACCTCTCTCGGCTCGAGGAGGAGGACGAGGAGGACGAGGCTCTACGTACAAACCTCCAACAATGCAACAATCTGTTGCTGCTCGCTCGCTCGCTCAGCCTCGCTCGTCCGCTGTAGACAGATGGAACTGTCAATGATTGCACTTCGTCGCTTCTAATTACCACAGACAGCGCCATGATGCAAGCTTAGATTCCCATGTCTTGGCTCGCGTCCACGTATCGCTCGCTCGCTCGACGTAGATGGATGCCTTTCACGAGCCGCATACATGAAGGCGCATAATCGTACGAAAAGACGTCGAGGAGAGGAGAGCGAGGAGATGCAATACTAGAAGTGCATTTCTAGTTGGAAGAGGAGAAATATATTTTTCTGCCAGAGTCGTTCATATTTTTTACGATTCGAGGATGTCACCGAGAATGCCAAAACAGCAAATCTTGATCTTGTTTGCAAGCCTGCAGCCCCACCCCAAAGTGTAGATCGATTTTAGATCGAAAATCGCGGTCGCTCATGCTCATCTGTCATCTTCTCTCTCGCTCTCTCTATTTCTTTCTTGGCTTCTTTCTTTGGGCGTGGAAGGGACATCCGCCATGCTCGTGAGCTTTTGATTAGAGGCCACATGCGAGTGAGTGCCGGGGGGGAGGTCACTTGAGAGCCAAGTTATGGGAGGAATGTACGCACAGCTGTACCGAGTGCGGTGCATTCCCTTCTGAGAAGAAGCAGGGCCACATTGGGCACCGCTCGAGCGGCCAGAGCTGGAGAGCAGAGCATGGACTGGCGAAAGAAAGAAACAGAGGCTCTTCGAAGCGTGCAGCCTCGCCTCGCCTCGAAGCCAGGAGAATGGTGACGTCGGCGTGCTTCGTCGAATAGTGGGTGGTCCTGAGAACCTGCCGATTTCTGCTCTGCTCTGCTCTGCTCTGCTCTTCTCTTTTCCTTCCCTTTCCCCCTTTTTTGTCTGCATCTCCTCCGCCCTTCTTCAATCAGAAGCGGAAGCGGAAGCAGGAGGAGAAAAGAAGGGCTGGCTTGGAGGCCGGCTGGGTTTTGGTTGGCCGGGCGACGTCTGGTCTGGTCTGTTGCGAGGTGGCGTCGTTGGAGCATTGTTCTGTTTGGTATCGAGGCTTTCGCTGCTTCGAAAGCCGATCCTCGAGCTCGGGCAGTGGAGAGCTTTCCTTGGGATTGATTGTTTGATTGATCTCACGCCCAGGTCCACTTGTCACTGGTGAAGGCGGCGTCGGTTCTCTCGCTTTCTGGTTCTCCTTCCGCTGCTGCTGCAGGCACGGGCTGCGCAGGCCCCACTTGGGCTCTGCTGTGCAATTGCGCTTCTCGCCAACTGTTTGCGACAGCAGCATCTTTGTTCGGCCAACGCAGTGTGGCCTTCTGCATCACCGTTTTGTCACCCTCTCTCTCGCCTGCCTAGCGCTCTAGGTTCGGGAATTGCTGGTTTGTTTCTGCGACCAGGAAGGAAGGAGGGGCCTCTCGGGGAGTCACGACTGTCATCACTGGGTGGGTCGTCCCGCGCTTCTGGCCCTTGGGTTGCCTGGCCTCGAGAAATTGAGGTGGCATTTGATTAGTGGGTTCTGGCGAGGGCATGAAATTGACCGCGTCCAAGTCGCTCGAGGAAGAAAAGGAAAAGTCCAGCTCTCGAGAGCAGGTTTTGATGAGAGGCGCTTGAACAGCTTTCACACGAGCGGATCGTGTCGAGAACGGGCGATTTTTGGTCTTTTGAGAAGGTAAGGACTAAGGAGTCCGGGCGTCGATGTCTGCCGTGGAATTCATTGTCGGCTTCGTTTCCAGATCGGTGGCCGCGGACAGTAGAGAATTGTGTGTGCTTCATGGGTAGAGGAATTTTGGTTCCTTCCTTTTGGCAACGCCTTCCACCCAGTTTGAGGTGAAGGAAGTGAGGCCAGTGCCTTCCTAGAAAAACGAGGTGTAGATGGAAATGAGAGGCGGATTACGGAAGTGGTCCCGGCGCAGTGTTCATTCCTTCTTCTGAGGCATGGTTGCAAGGGCTGGACGACTCTTTGTAGTCAACTTCGATGATGGGAGGACAATGGGAAGTCCTGTTTGACGATTGGGCTTGTTGAGCATGTGAATTTGCGGTTTTTTAGCGTCAGCATTTGCACGCTGGAGTGCACTTCTCTGACGTCGAGCAATGTGTTTGCCCTACACCTCGCGACTGCAATCGCTCGTGGTTTGTAGGGCTTTCGAGTTCGAATCGGGTTTGAAGTGGAGACATTGTTGAGTCGTATTTGTGCTGTTGCAGTGAGCAGGGACTCCGATCAGCGTCACTGCTGGTTTTCATGTATTTGCTGCAACTTTCTGGTTTCGTTCCATCAGTTTTCATTTTAGACTTCACCTGGCGAATCACATTCTATACATATACACGAATCATAGTCCAAGCAGTTCTTTAAGATACTGCATCGCCGTGGAGTGACCACCTTCTTTTGTTAGTAGTGGAATGGTGCTAAGCACGGTCCATCTCTTGTAACTGACCAAGCCCATTGGCAATTCGTCGTCTGGTCGTCGTCGGTGTCGATGGAACCATAAATTACGAGATTTGTAGATGGATGGGATGGCTTCGATTGTTCAAGTCAATAAGTGGGGACGGCGCTCAATGTGCTTCTTTGACCGCTATGTGATCATTGCGGTACTCTGTGATTGGCCATTTGTAACGAATCATCTCTCGGTTGAGATAAGCCAAACTACTTGAATTATTGTGCCTGGGAATGTTTTCGTTGACCAGGAGATGTTTCGCATTGAGACGGCAGCCATGATTATCTTGGCTGCAGTCTTTGGCTTGACACCAAAAGCTTTATATAAGAGTCTTTGGCTTGACACGATATTCTCGTATCAGGGAACCCTGTTCACTGTTTCTATCTTCTCCATTTTCATCTGCAATTGTTCTGTTTTCTGTCCGAACAGTTGCGTTAATCTATCTGTTCATTGTGCCTTGGTACTGTCCTGTCCTCCCCTCCCCTTTACACATATCATGATGTCCGAACTTCAACTCCTAACCAAGATGTTCTGTATCCAGTTGCTTCAGTCTTGTGTTGGTAACAATTTCTTCCTCATACTAGTCGAACAAGATTGTTCAACTCTGGTTTTTAGTGTATCTTGTCTCCCTGCTTTTGAAACCTGTTTTTACCTACATCCTGCGCAGGTCTCGGAAAACGTATGCTGAATTTGCAGATTGTTAGGGTTTCTCCGAGGTAAATATTCAACAGAGAAGAAAGGCGTACTGAAAGTGGGTTCGATGCCCTTTATCGAGGGTGTTGGTGACGAGTTAGTTTATGCGGCTCTGGTAGCAGCCCCGGTAGTCTTCATCTGCCGCTGTTCTCTGGGGTATGACTAGTTCACGCTCGGCTTTTGTGGATGATAGTCTCCGATTACTTCGTCACGTAGTGGTGTTGGAAATTTTCTAGGCTCTCTCTTAACTTCCCTTCTGATTCGCCACCTGACGACATTCTCAAAGAAATATGCTTCTGAAATTTCTCTTAAACAGTTCAAATTGTACTAGAGAAGCTAACTTCTCCTTCGACTTGTCTTTTCCCAGACACCCAATAACTTGGTTGAAGCATGGGGCTTTCTTGGTGCGCAAGTGGGTCAGTGGTGTTTGGAGCTCACTGAGGGGTCAACGAGGAGGCCGTGGTACAGCAGATTCTGGGCGAGGCTATGCCAGGCACATGGAAGCCCCTGCAGATAACGACTGTTGCTCAATATGCCATGATAACTACACTCTGCCCGTTCAGGCGAACTGTGCTCATTGGTTCTGTGGTGAGGTTCCTGTCATTCGGTACCAAATTGACCAGCCCTTCAAACTTCAATACTCTCTTGTGCAATTTATCGTGATGCATTCACAAAGGTTTTTGTTATCTTAAAAGGAAAACTCTGAAGACATCCATTCCGGACTAGGGTTGTGTTGAAAACTCTGTGTGGAAAATTGGAATCGCTGCTTTTGCCTTGACTTCTCTTATCATATGTTTCCTGCCTAATTGGAGATGTTGGGATTTCACCTCATTGAATCACAATGGTAGTAGCAATCACATGGCAGTAGCAATGGTAGCATCAATTATCTGTCGTTGCTCTCTCTGTGCGGAACTGATGGATGTTTGCATCTCCTGACTTACTCGATCAGGAGAGTGTATTCTTCGAGTGTGGCAGCACACATCTGCTCTTCAGCCCTGCAAATGTCCAATATGTCGCAGACCGATTACCCTTTTCATTCCCAGCGAGGTGGATCCACATGTCCAGACGGAAGAACCTCCTAACTCAGACATGATCATGAGTGACATTGCCAAGTACAACCGTATTTTTGGTGGTGGTGTCGTCAGTATATTTCAGGTGATTACTTCGTTTTGTTCCATTTGAACTCGAGTTTAGATTTCTTCCAACTTCTTAGACGAACGTGTTGTGTTAAATTGATATAGCTCGTGTGTTACAGTTACTCGTTAGTTAATGCTCGAATTCGTAATCCTTGCTACTCAGCTCGAGAAAATCCAGGATCTGTCATCAAATTTCCGTGCTTTGAAGTGCTTATGCTGCATTGATCCTGGGTCTGTGCCTACAGTTGATACATTTTGCTTCAGTTGTTATAGATGTGATTAGAGTTTGTGGTATTTTTACCGTCTTTTGTATTACTTCATAAAATACTTTTCAACATTTTTCTTCAGAGAGTACGAGATATGCCACTTCTTTTACGGAGACTTGTACGGGAGTTGATGGATCCGCAAAGGGCCATACATTTGATTCACAGGACTCCTATACTATTTTATGTAAGTATGGGTGCTCAGCTGCAATTCAAGAAAAATGAAGTTGTTTGTATTGTGTTGAAGCGTCGTAAATTTGCTGTGACCCTGTGTCGCAGGACAAACAGTACATGTGAAGTCTGCTTACAGTTTCCTACCACTCTATCGTTGTAGTTTAGGATGTATGTATAGTGGGATAATTTTGAAGGTCTTTATCGACGCCCTTTGTATGAGTTCAACACTACTTTGAAGGTTTTCGGCATCAAATTGTATGCAGTCTAATGGCTTTTTCATCTTTTTTTATTGTTGCAGTTGCTTTTTCTGGCTTTCTACGTCTTCTCTCCTCTCGATATCATTCCAGAAGGTAACCATTTATTGCATATTTGATATTTTCCTTTTTCAATGGCGGACTTCTGTTTTGTAGAATTGGTGAGCAGTACTATTTCAGCGCAAAGAAAGACCATAAGCGATGAGTTTATGATTTTTTCCTGTGGCTGGAAGTGAATATAGCTTGCACTATGCATATCTAGAGTTGTTTTTTCCGAGAGGAAGAGATGAAGCTGCATCTGTATGTTGATTGTTAGGATAGCTTGGGGATGTTTCTTCAAATATTCCATATCCATCCTTCTACGCAGTTGCTGATTCAGTGAATCTTGTCCTCATGCGAACTCAACTTTGTTGTAGTGAGGGAAGAACTCAGAAGAGGTAATTGGCTGGAGTTGGTTGGTGGTGAATAGCGAGTAACCTTTTGTGGAACAATCGATTGCTAAGGTGCATATTAACGATTGTTCTCTTGCGGAACAATCGAATGCTTGTACCTCAGAGTGCGTTCCTACATGGTCAGCCGCGGCTTCTTGGGACAAACTGTGACAACGCTACGTATTCACCTGTGTCATGTGTTTCCTCATATTGACATCTCTGTCTGTGTATTGGCTGGTGGCTGGCAGGAATTGTGGGGCTGGTGGGTTTGTTAGATGATCTGTTAGTGCTGGTCATTGTGCTCTTCTATCTGGCCATGCTGTACCGCTCCACTCTCCTTCTCCACCATGGGGGTCATGCACAATGAGGAAATTTGTATATATTGCTACCTGTTCTGACGATGGGTAGTTGAAAACCAGTTGAATGCTGCAAAGCAAGGTTTTGAAAAGTCCCCACCAGGAGAGGATTTCAAGTCACTTATTCGAGAGTGCTTTCGGTGGCGAGGAAATTCTTACCACACTTACCCACCAACCCTCACACCCTAAGATATCATCCTGCGCTTTCAGTCAAGGAAGTCGGTTACTACTGGCTGTTAACTGATTATGCTACAGCGGTTGGGCAGCTTCATTCAAACCTTCGGACTTATCGCACGGAGTGGACCTTGACTGTTTATTGGGATTCGCTAGCAGCGGCATTCTTTCCTGATTGGGCACGTTTGTGTGCTAGAGACTCGCTCCTGAAAGCTTTCTATACAAATTCATTCCAAGTTTGTCCAGGAAAGGGATGTAAGGCGCCACCCTTACTTGTAAATTCTTTCCCTTAGACTGGAATCAAGGCTTCACGGAATTCTTCAGTTTCAGAGAAAACTGAATATCTAGTCCGCACTTGGAACACTTTCATTAAGGAAAATTTACTTGTTCATATTGAGGAGTCTGCAAAGAGGTTCGTTCCTTTATGTTGTGCCGAATTGTAAATTTGTGGCTTGGCTTGGCTTGCCAGACGCGAAAGTTGTTATGAATGTGACGAATGAAGACAACAACAACTGAGATCTATCAAAGTCACGTTTTTTGCGTTCATCACGTTCATGCAATCTTGTGAACAGTTGCAACCGTTGTTATGAAATATTCGCAGTCCGCATGATGTGTCAGCGCGTGCATATCCTGACTACTAAACCACCGTTTCAACACTAATACGCCTGCTGTTGGATACTTTTTCGTATTAAGCTAGTGCCTTCAACTGAGTAGTATTCACAGGCCACTGGAAACAGCTGTCTGTAACTGAGAGTTCACAGATTTGGCGTTTGGAGAAAGCCTAGAGGTTGAGGATGTGTGAACGCAAGGCTCGGGGCTACGATGAGATTGCGGGTCGCTGTTTCACTTTGATATTGATTAGTTGTTAGTTGATAGTTAATACTTCTCAAGTCAAGTGTTTACTTCGTCCTGCAAGTAGCACAACATCTAGATGTTGTGTGTGATTGGAACTTTCGGAAGTTAAGTTCTGTTTACTCACCTCATGCCTGATGACGGAAAACTAGCGAGAAAACAGCCACGTTGATATTGGCAGCAGCTGCGCCTTTCGAATTCACTGGGCTGTCATGTGGCCAAATCACGTCATTCTGCCTGTATGTAAGAAAGTTTCGACAAAAATTCTGAAAGATGCCACTCGCGCTTCTCTCGCCTGCACCGACAAAAGCCTTGTGATTCTGGACCGAAGGATACGGTTCACTCCGTCCAGATTGCAACTTCCAGACAATTACATTAATTCCTCACAATTACATATGAAGAAACTTTCGAGATTAGTTTGGAGGTAATGGAGAAAACTCTTCAAAAAGAATGTTGCACATATTATAAGTACTAGGATATCATGAATTTTTTTTAAACAAATTTTCATGTACAATAATTTTGCACTTAAACATATAATACTTGATGATAATAGCCATAATCTTCGAAAACAACAAATTATGGCTATTATCATCATCTTAAGTATATCTGTCTTTTATTTGAAACTTTTTCTATGAAGTAGATAAATAGAACTTAGAGTATGTACATATTCATCAATTCAATTTATAACAGTGAGTACATCGATTTGAACATTCTTTTTACACATGGAGTAAAATAGGTAGCTTGCAAAGATGATTAGAAAAATATACTCACTAATTTTGTCTTCTAATTTTGCAACATAAAAAATAAAATATATGCAAAAGAATGTAATAAAAAAATTTGAATATCATTAAGAGTCAAATTTTTTGTAGATTACATGATGATATTAGGATTCATTCCAAAGCACTACGTGCGTACAGTCTCAATTATTTAATTCCTCGGAGTGGGAAGTAAGATGAAAAATATGATCAACTAATTTTTAATTCGACTATTTGTATTTCGTTAATATTTTTGTACAACTATACAACTCAGAAAATCAAAGACAGTAAAGAGGAAGACAAAAAATTTGATTGGACTATTTGAATTTTATGGAAAAAGGACAAATATTATCAAATTATTTGAACCTGAGTAACCTGCTATATGGTCTCCACACCCGTAAGTGGTGTTAATCTTAATTTATAGGCTGACGGTGTACACTTAAACTAGTGTGAGAGGTTAGAGTAAGGGGACAAAGTTAACGTGAATAAAAATTATTATTCACAGCAGCTAAGGTGAACAGCTTTACTTGTCAATTCTGGTGGCGGACCTTATGCGACTTGCTCCCAGTTCAGCCTTGTGTCCATTCGGTTAAGTTTTGAAAGTAGTTTAGTCATCGGATGTGCTTACAGTCGTGCCGGTTGGGTTGGGTGACGTAATCATAAGCAATTGTTGTCCACCTGACTCTTGTGCATTGCACGCTTCCATCTCATGGTGTGCAATTTTCAGTATAGTCGGAAGAAGATCGTCTACTCTTGATGACTCCATCAAGAGTAAGGTAATTCAATGAAAAGGTGAGAAAATCACGCATGGATTAGTCATTGAAAAGTTTGAGAGCTACATTGTGCATTCATTGCGTTCAAAAGTGGGAAAATGTTATAAAAGCCTTGGTTACAATACTTGCCTTCCAATAGTAAGAGAATGAGACTCCTTAAAATACCACCGCAACTTCTTCGGTTTTACCTGCAAATTTACAGTGTCCCATCCAATTTGTATGTTTAGAAAAATTTAATACCTGATTTATCAATATCAAAGTCTTTATGACAAGTTTTGTTACCCGACTGGTTATTCTAAATTGCATTTCAGGTTATCGTGTGGATACTTCAGCCTCTAATGGCCCGATGATGGCAGTTCCTCCCACACACAGTAGCAGGCAACCATCAGTCTACAATAATTCATAGGGAGCGGCTAGTTATGCTTCACTTAGGGTTAATTAACCCTGATTGGCTAGTTATGCTTCACTTAGGGTTAATTAGCCCTGATTGGTAGCTGCAGGGTTCGTGAGAAACAACTATTTCTAAAATAGATAGTAGGGTGAGGGCTAATTAGTTTAAGTGAGGAAAAACTAGCACTTCCCATTTGATAATCCCATGATGGCCCAATAGTTCAGTCCCCAGCCGATATCTATCAGGTTACAAGAACTCGTACTAGAACATGAGGCAGGTTCCATCCGGTAGAATGAATAGTGTTGGGTCCTAACCAGTGTTTTGCTTTCGGCAAGATCCCGGCCATTTCTCATCCCTTTACAAAATCCACAGAAACTATCCAGATCCTATTCCATCCACTTGATTACAAGCTGCTTTCAAACATGAGCACAGCTACCTCGCACCAGTGATTTCACGATAAATGTCACACGGATACTTACAATGTAAGTTAACAACACATACAATGAAGTGTACAAGCTACAACTTTATTCATCCATGACAGAAAAGTGGAAGGGATCTTCGATAAGGACCTGACATTTACAAACAAACTGAAAGCAACTGCTCGCAATGATATCTTGTGAATACAACTTGCAAGGAAAACTATACATGCTCAATTCCGACTTGCGTCGTTGAGTCTATTTATTGTTGAAAACTACTCTGTTACTCAAAAACAACCTACACTTTCTTTATAACCTTATAAAGATCTCAGATGTTCCGCATATATATTCCAAAGGAGATTGGTCATATGCATGCGCTCATTTGCTATGCGAATAATATAAAATGACAAGCCCTTGGACAAGTGAACTCCATACGGTGTGCATCATACATAATCTGAACTCGCAGAAACGTGACGAAGTCCATCCAGAAATTGATGACGAAGTTCATTGTCACAACGAAAAGCAAGCCTGGGACAAGGGAAAATACGAGGAACGGACAACATATCAAGATTTGAAGAAATTTGTCCAGCATAAAGTAAACATGCACGCAGTTACTAACCAGGCAACTCAGCTTCAGGAAAGTATTTGCTGACGAGAATATTTATGCTGACAGATGTAAAGTGCTGACAGGGAAGAGATCTTCTTTGGAAAATCTGTTGATTCTTGACCATTCCATTAGCTTTACATAGAACACAGCCACTACATTCAGCATCTGCGGACAAATGATACAAATTGATACAACGGAACCGTGTCCCGAATTTACTTAACGGACGCCCGCAATCTATCATGCTGCCTGGAGTGATCGATGAAGAACTGAATAGCATGACTAAGTCCACCTTCAGATGTGAAATTACACCCTATATACACTTGTAAAGTAGCCGCTCTCCAAAGTGTCCTTCAAAGTCTGCACAATCCACTGTACATTATACTCTCCCATCCAATTCTCCACTAACCTATCACAATCCTCTTACCTAGCACTCCCAGGACATCCAATCTGTTTGATGCGTGATTATTCGTCGTATGCAGAATGGTGTACTCCGACATTGAACACTAAAAATGGCCCCGACCCTGACCGGCCAAAGCCATGAAAGCAAGCTTGAATGCAAGCCGTGACCCCAATATCGAATAATAAGGGCTTCTGAGGGAGCTAGTACTAAACACTAAATGTAAGAGTCCAGATACGTGTTGGTGCGGCAACGATTATACTCCAATAAGCTGCCATATGTGCGGTCTGTAACTCCTACAAAGAGGGCCTCAGTATCTGGACTGAAAGAGATTCCGGCCACTTCACCAAAAATATCTATCTCTTGTGATTGGTTGTAATCTTGCTTTGTGTCAAAAATGTGCACAAAGTCCGCAGGCTCAGCCATTGCCATGAATCTTCCATCAGAAGTGAAACGAATTGATCGAATGGCGCCTATACGACCCTTCAATACGGCCACTGATTTATTGAGCATCCTGGCATCCCACAGACGACAGGTTGTATCCTGGTTGCCTGTTGCAAAGGTATGCCCATTTGGGTGCCATGCTGAGGCGAATGAAAAATCTAAATGGCCAACCAATTTTCCGATAGTCTGTCAAAAGAGAAGGTTGAGAAAGTTAGAGATATACTATTCCAAGTCCGACCATAAATTGAACCATTGAGCAGAACAACCGAACATCGTGTATATTTCTCGATTAATTCCATGACCTTGATAGGCCTTCAATAGTCGGAGAATTCATTTCTAAAGCTGAAAAGCAAAGACAAATCAAATAACTCGCGTGGTAATATTACCTTCCCGCTTTGTGTGTCAGCGAGTATACCATCGGCGTTATCTCCTACAACAATAACCTCTTTGCTGTCTGGGCTCACAGAAGTATGCTGCAAAAAAGAATAAGGCAGATTAGCTTGGTAAGCAGCTCGATATATTCGTCAGCGCTGAAGGTGACTTGTATTATTTGCCCGTATGGTCAAAGCATGGCTGAAATTCATACCAGCATAAGAGACAGTTCATAAAGAAAAGAAGATACGGACGACATGGAATGAAAGAGCGAAAAAAAGAAGATTACAGTGACCACTCACAACTTTACTTACATTAACTGGCCAAGGGAACATGAACTTCGAAAGAACGGAGAAGCTCTCACAATCAAACACTCGTACAACTGAGTCATTGTTCGAGCTCATAAGCCGAGTGACACCACTGCAGAAAGAAGCCACAATGAGTCAAACAAATCCACCTTGTTACCGAACTTGCATGTTTCAGGACATAGTCGTGCGTGCTAAGCTTGTGAGTGACCGAAAAGACGAATCGTTTTGAAAGCAGCAAATATAATCAACTTCCGTAAATCCGAAGTGTAAAAGAATACAAGGTAGTTACACGTGCTAGAAACAGTTGAACCCAATCCCTGCAGGTTACACATGGCCGTCCCACAACAGTTTGCTCACACTTTGGGTTCCAGACTAGGCTAAAAAGTAAAGAGTGTTTTCGAAGTCGTCCTACCAAGCTTGTTCACATCCTCGCGTTAAATACACGCCTGAATGCTAGTGCTCTAATAAGATTGTTCAGTGCTCAATAGGCTCCCCGATGTTTGACTTGAACAAAACAACACGGCATGCACATCTACTATTGACATGATCCGCACGGAGAACAGCCTTGATCTTTCAGGGAACGTACCTAGCATTATCATATATTTCGATAGCGTTGGTGATGGCATTTTCGTCATGAGTTATTTTAGCACAGTACGAAACTCCAGGACGATCCAAATACTGCGGCAACATTTGTATCAATATTAAATTATGGAACCGGAATTTTCCTAGTTTATAAAATTTTCAAGTATTATTCACACAAAAAAGCTGGCATACCCTAAAGTTCACACCAAAAGCTTTCACATTGAAAGTAGAAATCAAGAAGATTTGTTCCAAAAATCTGCTCCCCTCGGCAATATTGAATGTCTACGTATTAGAGTCTAAGTCTACGTATTAGAGTGGTGCTAGAATTGCTGCAAAATCCAATGGCTCCAACTCATATCCAAACAAGTGAGATTACCTTGCACACCATCTCTCCCTGATACCCTCCAGCTACGAGGAGATTGTCTTTAACACACATAGTGCTGATTTGAACACGTCCTAAGGGCGAATAAGCCCATGGATTTCTTTGAGCCTGCACAAACATTTACAGGAACAAAACTTTCATCACATTTGCTGAACCGTTACGACCAGCAAAATGTCGTGATAATCATAGTGCATGCCATAACATCCACATTGAGCGAACCAAACTGAAACGAAAAAATAAGTTCGGAATATACCTCTGACACGGGCATTACCGGACCATGGACATTAAGCACCTCCGTGCCCCTTCGAGTCATAGGAGACCAATGCGTGACAGTGAAGGAGTGCATCAAGTAAACGTCATGCTTCGACGTTGCCCAGACCAAGTTCCTAAGCTGTATTCAGTGGCGAATCAAAACACAAGAGAAGTATCAGTTTCACCTTTTTGCTGCAAAAAACAACCGTGAATACAGTGTTCGGGTTGATAACATTGTAAGAAAAACCCTCTTGACGTTTTAGTAGAACGTCAAGTTTCTGAAAACGAAATAACCGATCTTTAATAGCCACGCCACCATCGATCTGGAATCCATACTGCACATGCTACCCGCCAAACGGCTGAGAACTTATTGCAGTGAGTTCTTCTAGAGCATATTGGCACGTCGCACCCAACTGGCCCGACCATTGACGGCTCTACGTTTTATTTGGAACACTTCATCCTCCTGATTCCCGGTCTTCTACTTCTCCTTCAACTCTCCCTTGCACATACCCGGTCAAAGCCCTCGGTATATGCCCGTCGAGCTATGGCAGGCACTTAATAAGATGTACAGTAACATCGAGCAAATTCGAATACGAAAGGAAGCAGTTCGTAGAGAATGACTGCGTTAATACAGTACCTGGAAATGGACATAAGTTGACTTGACAGATCTTGTGTTGTAACGAAACTGGTAAAACTTTCCTTCTGTCGACGGTGATTTACACTCCTGCTTCAAGTACACTCAACTCCATAGTCAGGGTTACCATCAGAAGTCTCTAGACTCGTAGGTGCTGACACTTTACGCAATGACTGTAAATAAATGCTTCAACAGAACAAAAAGGCGGCCTTCAAGAGCAAGATTTCAAAGAGTTTCAAACTGACCCCCTTACTTTATCCAGGCCTTCATGCGATTGATTCAAATTCTCATAATTTTTATACAGTTCCAGCCTTTGTATCCGGTATTTTTCCCTCGTGAACTGCAATCTGCTCCATGGTATTCCCTGAATATCTTTACCACGCCTAGCTTCAGCTGCAGTTGTGTCTGACGCATTTTTCAGCTGAAAAAATGGGTTACGTACGAACAGGTCAATAATTTATTACAAATGGACACTGGCTTACGTGGAGCCTTCAACATGTGGACGACGGATTTATTTTGGCTATTCGAGAAATACATATCAACGCATAAACGGTGTGTGCAGAGATTTCAAAGCGATTTGACACCCATGCAAAATACATAACTCTTCAGATCAAGGACTTAACAGACATCTAACCCTTCATGCTCTTCACTTTCGATCCGACAATATTCCAATACTCATATGCATACTAGATCAACACAAACCCTCTCCAAACATAGCTGACGATGACAAGCAAAATCAAGAAACGAACTGTGTAAACCGTTCCACACCTCATCATCACTGTCAGGATCAGACTCAAGTGACACTCGCTCCCGAGCAGCCTGGAGTTCATCATCATCGTCGTCGAAGTCAACAGGATCATAATCTTCGACCATGTAGTCGTAAACATCATGGTCATATTGAGCCATTGTGGAGACCCAAGTGCGAGGGGCCCTGACTTCTGTCGTGTATGAGGCTCCCCTGCTCTATAAAAAAGAACAACATTTTGATCAGTAGACACATAAAAGAGAGGTATATCAAGATAAGACAGTTTCTAACAAAGAGAACCTACTGCATCAATACTGAAGGGTTCGATCCGCCACCTCTTTCCGTCAAGTGAAACGCTTTGACCCTTTGGATAATCAATTGATAATATTTCGAGGAAAAAAAATTACTGGAATACTTCCAAGCTCTCCCGGTTAGTGTTTAGCAGAATACAAAGTACAGTAATAAGGCTTTCGAAACGACCACAGCAGAAACCCTCCAGTTCCAATATATATCTAGTTAACAAATGCTTATTAGTCCGTTTAGGACCAAGCACAAAGACGAAGGTTGAATTCCCAAAAATAAGTACACATTTTGTTGGTATTACTTCCAAATCCCTCTCTTGTATACATATATACTGACTAGTTACGGGAGCAGAAGTTTGGAACGCTTGGAGCAGGAAAAACCTTTGCAGCTAAATTATGCATAAGGATCCTTCATCAGAGATGTTTTGAGACTTTCAAAGGTGATCCTTAATGTTAAGCTATAGTTGGGTGTCCATAAAACTCAGCACTTTTTCATTGGTGAGCAGTTTCACACCACACTTCGCTTGCCATTCCTAGCGACTGAAATCTGAGGAATTGACAAAAGACGTCGTAGAGACGTGAAATCCAGACAACTAGTTACAGCATGTACCACCTCATATTATCAAGATGTTACGGAGCAAAAACCGATAATTTCTACCTAAGGCTGTATTGAGGTTGCAATACTTCTCAGAAGGTTTACAAATATTCTCGACTGCTCTTTGACAACGATGACCTAGCTAATTAACTTCGTCTCCTTCATAAGACCAGCACAAGATAACCAATACATCAATCCGATCACACCTTCAAAGAAGGTGTGATCGGATTTTACCAAACAGAAGAGCACAATCATACTACACCCACCAATAAGAACAGCACGATTAGATTCCTCCCACAAACCACTAATTCTTATACAAGACTCCTCGTAAATAATTAGGAATCACCATAGCTCTTTACCAAATGTTCTCTTGTGAACAATATCTTTTATCGATTCTCAGTTGTTGAATAAGTCCCATAGACAGATTGTACAAACTGCCTATACGAATTATTCAACCCACAAATTACTTTGAGGTGGCGATGCTTTGGTGTTGACCTTCCGACTGAGTGCACAAGAGAAGAATCGTTGCAGGGGTCTTGTTATTAATTCACGCAGTTATGGTTTTCTCGATATCCCCAATGACTCTCTCATGATATGGATAATGGACTGCTAATTCTCCAAAAGAGTTGATACGAGGGCTAGATTTTCTACAAAATGAAGGCTCAACAGTATGAAATATTTCAACCGGCTCCGAACACAAGCCTATGTAAATGAGGATAATGGATTGCGCAACTTGAACTAAATGATCAAGGAGCGAGTATAAGCCCATGACCAACGAAGTTCACTAACTTCACATCTTCGTATATTATGAAAGGCATGGGCCTCTCATAACATGCCTTTCAATGTTATGGGCTTCCCATAACATTGCCATGAACTGACCATCGAGCTTCCAGGAAAGCAAGTACTCTCGAATCGGAGTCCACTGAAGACTCAATTGGTAGACTACTTTCCCTACACGGGAGGATGAAATCACTAGCACAGATCCAGAGTTAAAACAGGAGTTAAAGGTGTTCAAATTTTCTTGATCTCATTGATGGCAGTTGAAAATTGAGAGAGTCAGAGTTGAAACAATCAATTTCAGGTACTGTAACGAATTAGTAACAAGAACCTTCAAGTAAAATCTCAAATCTTAGATCCAAATGCATTTCTCAAACCTAAAAGGAATCAGGTGAATGGTAGAAGATTAGTTGCGTCAAATCCATGATAATCTTAAGACCTGTAACCATTGGAGGCACGTCTGGAGCCCTTGTTTGGCTAATTCCACTCATCTGTACCCTACCAGGGCAATTGTGACCAAAGCACACGATGCGGGATAAAAAACAGAGTCTACAAGTGCAGAAGCCTTGAGCATGCTCATGCTTCCAAGCATCCATCTTCGACACACAACGGATTAGAACTCAAATGCTTCATCTAGATTGTTAGCTCGGGTCCAACCCATCTACAAAGATTTCGTTGATTACGCATCAATCTTCGACTTCCAATGGGTGGGAAATCCCGTTGACTTCTGTCTCCCGGAGTAGAATGTCATGCTCAATCACTAGTCTCCACCTACATGCAACTTCTTATCTTTCGTCCTGACAAGGAACCCAGCTTCCCAGATTCCATATAAAATGTCCGCGTTTTCCCAACCTAGCCTGAGAAAGGAAGCACGAGAAGGGCAACGGAGCCTGCAAGCCCTAAACATCTATGGCACACTGCTGGAACCAGAGGCGAAGAAGCGTTGACCTACCTTTTAATTGGCTTGCCTCTTGAACTCCCAAGTAGACAACATCAAAAGCTTGCGTCAATCCGAATTCGGGGTAGGAGGACGCTCAGTAATCATGCCAACAAGACGCCAGGCTTAATTCCCATCAGAACGTGGACGCTATCGACCAGCACCGTCAACAGGAGAGAAGGAAGTGCGGGCGGTATCGGGTTAAGGGCAGTAAAGCAGAATTGAGGATGAGATTCGACTGTCCGGTGAGAAGCATGGATACTGAATCTATGTCCCGACAGACACCAACACTGCGGAAACGCCGATGCGCGAGAACGAAACCCCGATGATGCTACACATGGAGGGAAGGCACAGAAAAGCGCAAACAGCAACTCAACTCAGCGCGTGCCAGCCACGCCCCCTCTCCCGTCCTGCCAGCCTGCGTGCCTGCGTGCGTGCCTGCCTGCCTCTCCCAGGACCGACTAACTACCACAACAGCAGCGAACACCTTGGAGCGAAGGAAGCAGCAAACCCAAGAGGCCCCTCCCCCCACCAGCAGCAGCAGCAGAATTCACCGCCCGTTCCGCAAACAACAAAAACACGACCGCGCGAGAGAAGACGAAAAGAGAACGAAAACCTCCTGCTTCCGCACGCAATTACGAATCCCGATCAATTGACCAGCAAAACTCTCGTCGGCTCTCGTCGGCCACTTTTCTGCCCTGCGCCGTATTCAATGACCCTCAAAGACGACAAAGAAAAAAAGTTCTCTCGCTCTCGAGATATGACTCTTGGATCAGATCAAAAGGTAGCGTGCGGGCGTGTGTCTGATGACACCTTCGACACCTTGGATTAACACCGAGCGCGATCAATGCTTCTTCCTCCTCTCGCTCGCTCTCTCTCCGTGCCTTCCTCTTCCTCTTCCTCGGCCTCTGCCTCTGCTCGGCTTTCAGTTTCCTGTCCAAGCATGAGCACATGCGTCCATCGCCATCGCCATTTCCATCTCCATCTCCATCTCCATGTCCAGCAGCCCCCTTCTGATTAGCCGACGACGACGCCTCTCTCGCCCAAAAGAGTCGCACGCAAGCGAGCGCACCGGCACATATGAGCCTTCCAGCTCCTTCTGCCGCACCAGCAGCCCATGGATGGATGCATGGATGGATGGCGATGGATGGATGCCTCTCTGTCGCTCTTGTCGTCCTCGTTGTGCCGTGTTTGCTTTAGGCCCGCCCGCCTCTCGCTCGGCACATGGCACCGCCTTCCCTTCCCTTCCCTTGCTCCGTCACTCTTAGTTAGCGACCTCCCTCCCTCCCGCCATACTTAGCAGGCCTCCTGACCCTGAGTCGGACCTGTGTTCGAGCCCATCACCCTGGTGGAGGGTTTAGTTCTGGCCCCAACCGGAACACATGAATGCTGCTGCTGCTGCGAGGAGCACCTCTACTCTCATCTTCGACCGAAATCCGCAGTTCCAGCCCTCCCTCCCCCAACGAAGGAAACTATTATTCATCGGCATATAAATAAAATCAAAACATTGTTTTTCATCGTTACAGAAATTCAACCCTTATGTATCATTTAATTTGCGTCTCGATGAATCTACTACTGAACATTATTCTACCGAATGAAGGAAGAAATAATTGAATTATCTGCTCTCTCTCACACGCACACATATACGAACAAGTTGTGTGATAAAATACTCGAGCGCTGGAAGAGTTATAAATTATAACTATTATAACTTATAATAGTTCAGGGTCTGCGCTAATTTCCGACAACTGCCTGCCGTGAGTTCGATATCCTCGCAATCCACCAGCTGTGGCCTGAATCATAATCGTCGGACAATGTGTCCGATCCCTCCCACGGGAAGAAATGTAACCTGTCTGTCTATCTTGGCCTCATGGTGGAAGTTAGTGTTTTCTCCCGACTTCTTCCAAACTTCCAAACTTCCAAACTTCCAAACTATGAGGACATTGTGTTCCGCATGATTCGGTGTTTTATTTTTTCCCATCCCCGTTCACCCCATCTCCGCAAGATTTGCTCCCTACCACACGACCTGGACGACCTGGACGCAGGGCATAGGCGACAGACAGCCTTCACAAGCATTGCCCATTTGGAGATATTATCTTTGGACCTGAGGTTCCCAGTCCAGAGCTTTCTCACTAATCTAGCTTTGCTAGCTGCTTCCATCTCGCTTTATTTTGCCTTTATGAACAAGATAAGGGACTAACTGGCCATGGCACAGTTCCACCGCGGCGATGGATTCCTCTCGGACCACTCTCAACCTTCCAGGAGATTGAGATAAAGAATTAGGGAGGGGCTGGTTATCCCTCACTTAGGGCTAATTAGCCCTAATTAGAATTATTGTTGTGTTGTCCCGTGTTCATTTTCAGAAGGTTTGGATGTATATTTACTGACACCTGCCTCTCCGAATGTAATACACGTAATTTCGCTGGACAACAGAAGCCAAAATGTCTTGCTCTTCCTTCTTCCATGGACAGTGGGAGGGAGGTTGAGATCGAGTCACTCTCGGTCCATGGTTGGTCACGGAAATCTGCACGCACCATTGATATTTGCCAGTCGGCCATACTCAGAGTTTTGTTGCGTCTGTACTCTTGATGTCAGAGCACAAGCATCCAGCGGATGGATGTGTGACTACGGCCACCATCTTCAGTCGCTATCGAATTCTTTCTTGCAGGACTTTAATTTGGCATTCACATCTGGACAGATGAGCATGCGGGTCGTGTGCTCATCAAGCCATCATCAGTAGACGGGAAGAACGAGGTTTGCGCCGAGATAACACCAACCTTGTTTGCGACGAATAATAATAATAATAATAATAAGTAGAGGTAGTACTCAGTCAATTACACACATATCCTACGAAAGAGTTACATTTCTTAAAAAGGGGCCCAAAAGTTCGTACATATGTTATGGATACATATGTTAAAATCTAGAGCTAATTTGGCTCCTTGATTGGGCTCATAGTTTTCAAAAAGACCCCTTCTTTGATTTCTGATGTTGTGCGGGGATTTTTTTTAAGGGGGTGAAGAACATTATTTTGTTAAGTCTCAAGTTCGTATCAATGTTGCCTTCCGGGCTCTATGACTTTAATGATTCGTATTGGCTAGATTGTGTGCAAGGTGGACATCCTAAGTCATATCTTCATCCTTGTCACAGTTACTTGTTGGTCTTCAAAGAAACATTTTACATTTGTCATCAACAGATACACAAAACAAATGTTATCACGTGTAGTTCCTTTAGCATCTTTACGTTGATTCATTCTTCTCGGATTCCACTGGTCGAATTTTATATCAAGATGCTTTCCATATTTCTCCTATGAACGTGTTGATCATTTATTATTTTGAATTCAAAACTCAAAACATGTATTTTCAAGCACAAAAATTTAAAAAGGTAGTAATATATATATATTGAAAAATTGAGCTTGAATTTTTTTTCTGAAATTGTATTCCATACCTAGTTTTTTGGACATGATCATCTACTAAAATTCGATTATCTCTATAATTGTTATCTCAAAACTTAGCAAATATGATTATTACAACTGAATGTTAAATTTGAGCAGACATTAGTACATGATATTCAAGAACATTTATTTCATTTTATATTTTCTTCCAAACTATTTGGTCTAGAGGTGATGGATCGACATTTCATCATGCTCTACCTTCATCAACTATTGGATCCTCCATTTACTAAGTAATATGCTCATCTATGCTCTTGCTCAAGCAAATATTGAGGCTAGTGGTACCACCGGATTTTCCAATCTGGATCAGCAACTTTTTCTTCTTCATAGTGATACATTTATTTAAATATCGTGTATAGGTTAGTCTTAACCTCTACACGTCCACTATGTTTATGTCAGATCCACAGACTATTCATTAGAGACACGGCGGTTATCATCATGTTGACTAAGCTGTCACTGGAAGAAAAATACCCAATCTATCCAATCAGACTGGTATGCACAGGGGTCAACTCTTTGTTCTTGTTGTAGTATTACGAAACTTTGGACTCATACATTGATGTTTGAGGGAGAGACGAACAAAAGCATCGTGGACTTCACTAGATGACAAATGATGCAATCTCTCTAGATTGATTTACAGTTTATGTTTGGCTTATGTTGTTTGTAGATTAAATCATAATATCTTAGTCATATCTGGAATATTAGAATGGGCCATATTTTTCATAATGATGCTAAGAGTGCATAACACCGTGTTGCCGTTTTGTTTCAAATATGTGCAACATGCATAAGCATTCTCATTATTTCGTATTTTTTCCCTTGCAACACACTTGAATTTAATCAAGATTACCATGAACAGATAAATTTACACAAATCAACAATCTTGTAACCTAACATGTAATGATGTTCACTGCATTAAGGCTTACTCTTGCTACTTCTTCAGGTCTAAAACACACATCATTAAAAGTACAAATTGCAAATCAGTAAGGTAACCAGGATGAATTGTATCCTTCAGGTGCTCAAGCAATCTTGTGATTCATCCATGAGTATAACCTGATGAATTCTAGATATTCACATGAGACATCTTGATTTTCACAATATGCTTCCACACTGACAATGTTAATATCATTAATGTCTGCTCATAGGAATGTATACATTATCCAACCGAGTAGCATTTTTTAGCAGCTTGCCACCTGGATCAATTAAAACATCCTTGTTCTTCACATTTAGTGACTTACATCACATCTTGCTCAAAAGGCTACACCGATGAGCTTACTTTACAGAAGTGGAGTTGAAAGGTTTTTCTTCATACTTTCTGCGAAGAACCAGGACGTCATAGAGAGAACGCGCCGGAAAATTAATACCAGCGCACTCAGGCTTTATTTGTGATGATCAGTAAAATCTCCACTGCACAACCGGCACGCCCGACTCAGTTGTGAGCTGTAATCAAAAATAAAATATTCATCCTGAGAGATTCCTCAACCCTACTTTAAACAGTTGCTCGATCCAACTGATTACGTGTAATAGTGCTTGAGGGATACTTCAACTCGCCCGGTATCATGGTTGCCCGGCTGAGATTTCGAGCATCAATCTGAGGACAAAAACTGGAAGGACTTCTGGTGGGATCATGGGCCCTTATGGGCCCCGCTTGCTTCGACCGCAGGATGAGGACATGACAGTATCAGCGTACTAAACAGAAGGCTGAGGCAATAACTTACGGGCGAAAAAGTACAAAAAGGTCCTCAGAAACACAAAGAGTGCTTCCAGGAGTTACACTGCAGGCCACAAATTTAAGTTAGAGAAAGGGACGTGAGAGACAAAAAGAGAGCGAGAAAGGTGGCTCGAATGGTTGACGCTCTGCTTCGTGACAGTCATGGGTGGCTTCGTGACGGTAGTTATCCCCACACTTTAGTGATTTAGGTCTCCATTCGCTCCGGAGTCAAAGATCCTATCAAGTTGTGTTCCCAATTAAAGAAGATAAGATGGTGGTGCACATTTAATTGTCCGATTTTCCTGTTTTACGTGACGGGCTATCACCTGCACCTTTGCCTTTGATATGCATTCCGCTTGTGGTAAATATTTTCTTTCAAAATCAAGCGTTTGTTTGTCATTGAGTGAACACAAACTACTGATTTGTGCTTACTCGTAGGCACAAATCATTCGTTTGTCCTTGCTCATAACAACCACCGGCGCGTGTGAACACATACGTCCGCGGGTGATCTACTCGAAAATGTTTTAAGTACTACCGGGTTGATGGTGGAAAGTGGTGCAGGTGATGCAGGGAACTTCTATACAACTCTTTCTGATTCAATTGGCTGTAAGTCTTGACGGAATCCATCATTCCCGTTTACCTGTCCATGTACATGGAGAATGATCTGGATAAGAGCTGCAGAAGTAGATCGTCTGTGTCGACTTGGCTTACACACGGGTAACAATAACAACAGCCTATTTACATCGAGTCTGATAAGATGGAGGTGATACATAAGCGAACATATTCTACCCAAGCCATTTTCGAGAAAAGACCCTGCGAGGACTTCAGCGTTCCCGGTGTCCCTCTTACTCAGCTTCCGACTTCTTCGCCTCTTCTAAGTGGGAATTTCTTGCTACTTGCTACACGTGTTCAGTCATCCAGAAAAGACCCTGCAAGCGACTTCAGCATTCCCGATGTCCCTCTTACCCAGCTTCCGACTTCTTCGCCTCTTCCAAGTGGCAATTTCTTGCTACTTGCTACACGTGTTCAGTCATCCAGGAAAGACCCTGCAAGGAACTTCAGCGTTCCCGGTGTCCTCTTACGCAGCTTCCGACGTCTTCGCCTCTTCCAAGTAGCAATTTCTTTGCTACTTGCTACACGTGTTCAGTCACGTCGAGACATCATGTTCGAAATCAGTGAATAGCTTATGCAAAACCGTCCACACACCACTGTATAATCACTTCTTTGGAATTTCCTGACTACCTAGGCCCCTCAATACAGTGTTAAGATTTGGTGCATCAGTCAGTACGTTAACGAATTAAAACATTTTCATTCATAGACAATCTAAGATTTGCCGAGCTACCCTCTCGACAACGCCGGGCTCTCCCAGAACTACGCGCAGCTGCTCATAGCCTTGAAGCACTCTACTCCGCTCTTGCGTGTCCATGCCTGGCAGCAACTTTAACGTTGCCTGCATAATGTTCTCTGCGTCGGCTGCCTCTTGGATATATTCGGGTACAACCTGCACCTTCCGAAAGTCATCCACGGCTAGAAATAACATGAACAGAAATAACGTCTTTGGATTTGCTATTACAAAGAATACAGCAGTATAAAAGTAAACATCACAGATGTGATTCGCCTGTCATTCATACAACTCTGTGTAGGTATCGTACATACTGCCTATGGAGATGCCGTGACCAGTAGATTGCGCGAGGTACAGCCATCGTGATCAAGCAAGGATGTCAATAGACTGACAACTCTTGCTTGAAGCCAACGTACTGATGGTTCTCTAAACATCATTGCAAGATTTCCTTGAAACTTTGGGTCAAACTTTCTTGCATTTCCAACCGTACCTGGGAATCGAGAATGAGGTTGACGAGTGAAATGTTCTTCACAGAAAATCCGAAGAGTTTCCGGGCGATCCAAGCTGTCAAGTTATCAATTTTGTATACCACGACTTGAGGCACCTGAGACAGAACAGAGGAACGAGCAATTACTTCTTGCTTAAAACAAATCACAATTTACGACATTACACCGGCTACGGAGGTCTGCATCACACGAAAAGATGTTATGACAGACGCAGATAGACAGGGTGATGAAAAGCTCCTGAAGATACGGCTGCGGTCGTCAATTTGTGGCACCAGATGCATCAGACAGAGACTTAGGCAGGTTGATAACTGCAGTTTACGGCATGTCAAAAATATCTCTAAAACTTTTTGATTTGAGCCGGAAAGAGGAATAAAAGTCACAAACCAATATTTAATTGCTGATGCATTCTGCCAAACATCTCTTGCTATAAATAATAGAAGCTTACCTTGTAAAGTGCCATCTCTAGGTTCGTACTTCCGGATTTTGTGATTGCAACATCAGCGGCAGCTAAGACTTCATGCGGATCACCCTGCATGTAGAAATACAAGAAAAGACTCGAGGTTAGACTCTAAAAATTTTAGAACACCTTTTAAACAGAACGCCTAGTTTAGAGGGTTAAAACTTTGACATGAAACGGAACCAAGACATGACAGGAAACCAGAACAAGCATCTGAACGCCAACCAGTCAACGAGAGTTTTCAAGTAGTCCACGCCTCTCTGTAATGATACTTACATTGAAAATAATAGAGTTCTGAAAAAAGGAATTATCTTCACATTCTTTCTCAATGACATGCCTTTGATCTCTGAGTACCGCGGGTATAATGAAATGAACACCATGAGGTCCACCTCTGCAGCAGGACAAGAAGAAGTTATATCCATATCATGATAGCAAGTTGATCACAAAAACTCGTTACTGTATGGTTGGAGTGTAATCTCCAAAGCCCCAACTGGCGGCCTCTCTACATGAATTCTGATAAGGCAATATACAAGCCCTTCTTATTTTAAAAGATTTCCAGCCGAAGACAATCACGTTAGAAACAATGTCCAGGATAAGCCTGAAACTAACATTTAAAACCAATGCAAACTGAAGGACAGTTAGCCTTTGAACTCAAGGATCCAAACCTGATCTCTACAAGTGCTTTGAGAAGCTTGCCAGCTGCAGATGCTATGGTTGGCCAAACATGCCTTAATTCTTGAGATCGGGACGCGGGTACAAGAGCAATGACTATGTCGTCGGTATTCACACCAAGCCTTTGTCTTGCCTACACAAAATTAGCAACTTAAGGTGTTAGGATTCATAAGGCATCATTGAGTAAGTTGACCCATCTGTAAGTTGGCGATTGATTACTCATCCACTACGGAGAAGTAACTCGTGTGTACTGCTGTAAACAATAGACACGGAAGAAACGGAAGCAGAAATCGTTTCTTTATGGGGTTATCGTCTGCAGCGCAGAGCTTGGGACTTCATCGGAGTGGTCCGATGAAGTCCGAAAATCTTCTACAATGGCATCGCACTATGCTTACCATCTACAGTAAAAACTGCTTACTTTGAATGCTGTAGTCTATCCATGTTAAGGTGAGAGGTACATGATGTACGGCAGGGTATTAACATGCACTGACCCGTCAATCCATATTAAACTGGAAAACGAGACTCTTCACTTCAACTCCATGCAGTAACGTAACAGAATATATGACTCTTGGTTAGCTGACAGATAAGAAATCAGGGGAAACGGAAGAATGGAGACTTTTGACCTACCTCATTCCTATTGATACCTTTTACAGTATCAATAAGAGGATGACCAACTAACTTGACGTTGGCTCCAGCCCTAGCGTAGTATTCAGCCTATAAAATACAATGAAGGCTAGTTAAGGCCCTACCAATTGTCTGTTATGTGGAGTAGGAGTGCACCACATAGTACGTGCAATTATGAGTAGAAAAATGACACCTACAACGTTCGGTTCATAGAAATGTGGAGGCGTGTGTTGGAGAATACATACTTCCCCCGGGTACACCGCCAGGATAATGTCACTGATGGATACAATACTTTTAGTTCGGGAAGTGTTCCAAAGCCATTCATTAGGTGGAATGTAGTAAATAATTTTGCAACCTGTCGAAGTACATAAATGATATTATCACAAACGAGTTGCAATGCGGGAAGTATTACATAGCCAGATAAAGATAAGGATATAAACTACAGCGGTACAGAGATGTTAATACATGATGGACTTACTGGTTAACACAGACTTTAAGATGCTCTGACGCTCCGTGCATTAACATTGCACGTGAGACCACGGACCGCATTGCAGTGTGAACGTTATATAATTCTCACAGATGAGTTGTACATTTGATTATTGACAACAAAGCATACAAACAAAGTTCTGAAACTCGCCTGATGAAAAGATATATAATGACAAAAAATCTTTCGATTGCAATGCTCTCTAATGTACCTTTACAGGTACACTTCGAACCAATGACCGGTAAATAAAACTGAGAACAAAGAAATGATAACAAGGATACAGCAGATATCTTCGAAATAGAGGTATCCAAAAGTTTCAGAAACTTGCGAGAGGTGCTCACCAAACTTTTGCTTCACGTACTGGCCGAAAGGAATGTTAACACCTGGATAATCTATAAGAACCTGTAAAATACATGAAACGTCCTCAATTTATAACCTCTCAATTGTTTCCCTTTCATATGAAGAGACTAGCATCTTCGAACCATCTTTCCGTTAAGATATGATGAATCATATCTCTGAAACATACAAGGATTCACTGGAATCTGCTCAAAGAAAACGAGTCCATCACGTAAGGATCCGTCTCAGAGGATTCCAACAACTTGTCACAGGAATCATATCCAGACAGCAGAGCTGGTTGACTACTTCTCTTCTAAGCTGATTGATTAGCCAATTCTGTCCAGAATCAAAAATTGGATTATTTCTTGTGCTCTCTTACCAAAACATGTGGTGGATGATCATCCAAAAACCTTCGCACTGTGATTTGGAGAAGAAGGGAGGGTACTATCAGTGGCAAAGCCTCCAGAAGGCCAATAGAACTTAGTCCCGTGTTGTCACCTACATTTGTCACAAACAATTTCGTTCGGATTAAAACTGGATCTACGTACCAAAAACATGAGGCTTGTCCCGCACGCTTATCTCGCAACGAAGGAGGCGGTAAAAACACTCTACAAAAGAAATGTTCGCCAAAAATCAGTGAAAGAGCCGGGAGCAGAAGGAAATTCGACCAATTGGTAAGGTTCGTGATACGCACCACCCACCAATGAGAGTAGCTCCCGCGGTCCTCATGCGTTGACCTCCAAGAGCATAAACCTCGACTCTGCGTCGAGTACCTTGCGCTTGCTTTAGTAGCTCTTTCACTAGATTTGCTCCATGTATGTCCCCCATCACATCCCCTGTGCTCACCTGCACTTTGTAAACTTCAGGAAACTAAGGTGCTGATCTCCACTCATAACTCTTCGGCATAGTGTAAGTTTGATTAAGAGCAGTTGTAGAGCGCTCTTCGCACATGAGCCCCTCACCCTTTCAAAGACAACTACACACAAGCAGACATAGCAGGGCGCGCGATGCAGACGAAAGAAAATCTAAGAGCTGGTTCCCTTACAAATATTCGAAACGGTGCTACATTTTCAGCTTCAGACGCTTGGCCACAATCTTCGAGCTCCAAATCATCTACTCTCGCATTCGTCTGCGAAACTTCACTCGCACAGCGTGTCGCCCGTGAGACAGCCCGACATTTCCCAGAGACAAGGCTGAACGATATGCGCATCGGTTTCACAATCCAAGATTGCGCACACGGTGAGCAGGGATACACTGGAGAACTCGGCCACAAAAAGCCGTCACTATTCAAGCACCGTGAAACCACATTTTGATGAAATGATAAAGCCTTCATGGTTCCCCAAATTTGTCTCTTCGACTTCCCAGTCACAATAAACTACGAGGCAAAAAGCTGCGCACGAGAAAGAAAGAGCTGCATATACTGCAGACAGAGGCGGGACTCTAGCCTCGCGATAGAGGAGGTGAGAGGAGACAATCCGACCAAAATCGTCGCAGTACGAATCCCATGACAGAGGCAGCCGCTCGCGTTGCAACAAAACAGTAAATCTACAGATTTGGCCAGCAGAGCTCGACATTCAGCAAAGGTGTTCAGCCTCTGTCCCGACAGTTTTGGCAAACTGACACATTTCTGCTCCTCGTGCCAATCAAGACTTTCATTCCCTACCGAAACGGATAGCTTTACTGTACTTTGTATTAAGCTCCCATTATTGTTCACCAAGGTTTGGGGTTGAATGAACCACATTCTTTATTGATTACGAGGATTATTTCACTAGCCCAACTCTGAAATTTCCTTCAATCCCTACAAATGTACCAAGATGTAAATTCTCAACATCAAATAATCAATATTTTTTTTCCAATAGCCATGTCATCCACATGAATAACAAAATTTTCAATTCATACAAATGTAACAAGATATAGATTATCACCATCACACACTTTATTTCTATCAATAGTCATGTAATGCACACGAATGTAATCAAAAGTTTCATTGATTATATGAAACATACTCATAGAATTTAGCTTGGTGCATTATTGGTGAAAACATCTGAAAACAAAAGCAAACCCAAGCAAGTTTTCAACAAGCAAGATCAACCGCACAAAAGACAAAGTCTCAAACAGCGCCACCTTTACTTGCAAAATTCAATCCCGGCCTAGAAGAAGAATAACATTTATTGTTTCATTATTTGAAGCCTTGATAAAATCTATATGATGAGTTTAGGTCACTTCAAACCATTAACTTTGGATTTTTTCACAAATCTCCAAAATTGCACAATAAAAATTAAATAAGGTAGCAATTAGTTATACCTCAGTTTAGACTAATTATCACTGTGACTACTATATTTCACACAAGAGAGGTTTGTGATTGGTAATATGCAAGTACAGAACTAGTACATGGTAATTGGATGCTAACGGAATGTCATCGTATAAGAATTTTGCTCATTGTGTGAGTTAGGCCAGACTTACAATTCATTCTGACATTTGATAAGCAGTAGCTGAAAAACTCATACAAAAACTTTGCAATCAGCAACCATTGCAACACGCAAACCACAGGCATGATCAAAAGCGAAAGTCCCTGTAACAAATACCGGAGTATCTTTAATTTACAGGGAAAAAAAAAGCAACAATATCATGAAGAAGATGGGCTTGAACATGTCCGCGTTTCACGCAGCCAAGTACATGTTTAAGATTCACTGAAATGTTTGGACGTAACAAAAACTCTTCAGGTATTTTTGGTTCTTATCATTTTATCGACTTGATTGGCAAATCTTCGATTTTGGGCTAGCACTTAAGGAGAGCTTACAACTAATCGCCAACATATGCTATGTGTTTCACCTTACTAAGGTGAAACACATAGCATATGAAGTTTAATTAACCTAAACTCAAAATAACAACTAGATACTACTTAAAATAAATTCATAATTACATATTAGAGTGGAATAAATTTTATTCCACTCTAATGAAGAAATAAAAAACTTACGACATTTATTGATCAATTAGAAAAAATGACTTTTTCATGAACAAATGAAAAACTAAATTATTTTCTGAAACTAAATGCAATTAAATGAATAAGCAATTTATTAAAATTTGAAATTGAACTAGAAATTTTGAAAAGATTCAGCAAAAATAAAACTTTACAATTGCACAAAAATATCAACAACATCAACAGTTTTTCTAAAATATCAAATTTAGCAATGCCAAAGTAATTAAAATACTATTTTTTATAATAAAAAATGCAAAACTCTTGAAAAAGACGCTTACATATGTCAAACATTGATATTTTTCATAACAATTTCATCGTTTATTTACAAAAAATATATATGAAAGTAATGTATACATTCAAACAAAACAATGAAATCTGATGTTGATAATTACTATTTAGTTTTTAAAATCAATTTTTGATTTAAAAATTTAAAAATTGATTTATAAATCTTAAATAAATATAAAGTATTTCTTCTAATATATTTGATTTACGTAGTTATTATACTAGTTATGAGTTGAATTATTCGAATCAAATATAGTAGCTAAAACTGATATAAAAATTCTTCAATTAGCGCTTTTTTGAATTACAACTATTGTTAAAACTTCAATGAAACTTGAATCTCACATTAATAAATTGTAAATTTAATCTAGTAAGTCTTCAGTTTGTATAAATAATAATAAAATATATAAAATAATATATATTTTATGATTTAAAATTTAAAAAATATATTAAATAATAAAAAATATTTTAATTTTATTGAAATTTTCAATAATCATCTTGCACTTAAATTAAATTCATTAAAAATAAAATCAAAAATTTAAATTGAAATTTTAATTTTTTGTTCAAAATTAATATTTAAAAAATTCAGCATATTTTTTGATTTGTTTAAAACATTCATTTGATGTTTGTTTTATTTTCAATGATCAGAATTTTGCAGATAATTATCATATTATGTAATTTTTTTGGAATGTAATTTTGAATAAACTTAAATTTGAAGTTTTAATTTCCGTAAATTGTAGTTCAATGCATTTTGAACTTTTTCAACCTTTTCACTTTTATGACAGTAGTTTTCATTCTTGTTGAAAATCATATGTTTTATCAATGCTAAATTTTGATAATAAATTTATTTTCAATATTATTATTTTAAAATTTTAAAAAACCATGAATTTAAAATTTCATTCATATTTTTATTTAAATTCAATAAATTTTTTTAATCATAAAAATTTATTATATTATCACTTTCAATTGAAGATGCAAATTTCTGATTTTTTAATTATCTCATTATTATTTTTATGAAAAATTTGCTTTTTATTTTATCATCATTTCTTTATTTTGTTAATTTTTTGCATTATTTTCAAATTCAAACTGAAAGATAATTATGATTAAGTTATCAAAAAAATATGCGAATGGCCCCAAGTTGAAACTTATACCCAAATCTATTAATTGAACAAATATATTTTGACAAATCAATCATATATTTATATTTCAATAGAATGATAAAACATTTATTTTTTACAAGATATGAATTTAATTTTTCAACCATCACTTTCAACGTTTAGTTTCGATTCTTTAAAATAAGTATTCCATAGCTCAATTATTTAAGGAACTTGAATGTGTAATTTTGTAAATATCTCTTGTAATTAATTTTGTAAGCTAAGAAGCTTCAGTTTTTAATTCACATCTTTTATCACCCTTAAATCTACCTCCGTGACAAAAGTTTGTGACAAAAGAAAAAATATTGTTGCTCTAATGTCAATGAAAATTTTCATACTGTGTTATCACATTATCTATTATGGGATAAAAAGATTAGTATGTTTCTTGGTATTATTCACCGCTTTATAAATGTTATCTCCTTCGGAGTTAAAAAAAAATTTAGTAGATACAATAAATGTTTGAGGCAAGTGTACTGTTTTTTAAAATATTTGTAAACTTTCACATGGTTTTTTCAGATCTTTGAAAAGTTGTTGCATTATAGATTTCACTTTATATGATTTTCATTGAATTTGACAATCTTTTCAATGCGATACATCATTTCTCTTGGAGATTGCAATCTGAATCTACTCAATTGTGATCCTACTCAATTTACTCTAGATATGCATGGACAACTTCAATATATGCACACCTTGACAGGATATTTCGTACATGTAGAAGCATACAGTTGGATCCATCATTACAAGTAGTTTCCAAGGACTTCTAAGTGATAACCTTTGTGGAATGGGAAACATGGGCGAGTTGAAACCATGGGAGCAATTCCTCTTGGAAAAATAAAGTCCTCGTAAAGGAGAACTTTATTTTGCCTAAAGTTCTCCTTTAGGAAGGAAAGTGTGCGTCGACACCGAAACCGAGAAAACCAAAATCTACCCTCACTAGTTGGAATCAGCAATCTAGTAGCCACGTGTTGTTCCAACTAAGCCTTCTGCCATGTCCTGTAGTCATCATGGGCCCTCCCATCGACCAAAAGTACGCCAAGGAGATATCAGGTCACAGCACAGAAGTCGAGCCTCTGATTTACTTCAGAAACATAGCAAGAAGGCAACAACCCCCACCCAAGACGGGCTGAAAATCTCAAGGTCAATGGCCCCAAGACAAAAAAGAAATTGCCAAATCGCCAGCTTTTTCAAAGATGTGAGAACACTTTTTGTCATCTTTGTCACACCTAGAAGAGATTATAGTACGTATTGCTCGGAGACTTCCATGTGAGATGCACCCTCATGTAGATTTGCGATCATTAGAGTGTATGAAGATTGATGAACGTCATGTGAACTTGGAGATCATAAGCAAAGTTTGCACAGATATCACCGAGGACGTCATGTCATCTAGACAGGTTGAATGGACCCCAGAATCATTCCACCTCTGCTTCTAATGCGGCATGGTACTCACCATCAGAAGTGCTCCAAAGTCGTGGTCAAAAGTTTGGAGGACTGCAAATTAGACTGCATGCTAGAAGAATGGGATGGATGATACGCACAGATGATCCTTTTGTGAGGTGGTAAATCAATTGTCTCTTGATCACAAGTCAGAGTTCAGAATCTGAGTTTTAAATAAAGGGAACGTGGGACCAAGTGTTGTAGGGAGTATGATCCTCTCGTCATGTCCATTGACTCCGCATCGTCCACTTTCGGTTTCTTCCACACTCAGATATGCACCCTCTCGCATCCATGGACGCTGTACAGTCAACTGCGCCACTGCTCGGGATAGAATCGAATTCAGCGAAGGCAGGAAGACTTTTCATTGGCCTAATGCGGTGGTGACAGTTGTTCATGTTGTGGACAAGGGCCAGACGTCGTTGAATACGCTCATTCTGTGCACAGAAAAGGACGGCTCCAGAAAACAGCAACGATCCTGGTGGACAC